CTTGGGTTACCTCCATGTGATGATGTCTGATGGCTGAAGAGTCTGGCTGGATAGCGATGTGAAGAAGGGATCCACTTTTCCTGTGTCTGGGCCTGTCGTGTACTAAGTATTTTTACTGTTCTGCCCTCACAATGTGTAAGCTACAAAGCTTGGCAGACAGCTTACACTCTTCCAATAAAGAATCAGGAGGCACTGGTACCTTTTAAGAATCTTTAGTAGAAGATATTTTGTTTTGTAAAACTGTAACAGATACAGAAAGGAGAAAATGTATTAGAAAAGTCACTATATACATTCACACAAATGGATACAAATAAAGAACTGCATTTCTATCACGAGCTAGCAACAAGAAAACAAGCCTAGCTAGCCAAAATGACCGTGCAGAAATTATGCCAATTTACATCACAGGAAAGGTGCCACAAAACATATACACACAATCTAAGTGTCCATATAGCTTAATAACTATGCTTTAGCTCTGTCACAAGCGATATCTGAACACTTAAAATAGCTAGATACGTCCAAAACCCAACTAAACTAAATTCCGTCACGATACGTTAGCTAGCATGCTAACACACAATGTTAAGTGAATAGGCAATAGTTAGCGCAATTAGCTTAGCATCATCGGAACTTAGAAAACTAGAATAAACATGTAAAAAACATAAATATTCTAGAAGCACAATTTCAATTAGCAAAAGCATGTTCTAATAACTCAAAAGTACTTACAGACTTATCTTTAACCAAGTCCTAGTAAGATGGAAAAATAGAGCTTGTCTGTCGGTTGTTGTTGCAGGGATTGTTCTGACATGAAATAGCTCTGAACCGAAAGTTAGCTAATTAAAAGCTACAGTACCCAATTTCGCCACTAGATGACAACACAGAACAATATAATACTTTGTACAGAAGTACAGTTATCAGAACAAGCTGTAACATGACGTAATAATGATGCAAGTTTAACAGCAGCTGTGCGACATGCTTCCTGGGGTTAACTGAGGGACATGTTCAGGTGATGCACTGTTCAGGGGTCAGTTATCATACAATCACAGTTCTTGTTTTCATAAGTTAACATTTACAGAGCTGGAGCTTGTCAAATATTATGACTGGATGGTTTGTTCTGTTGGACTTTCCTGGTCTAGAAACAACACTGTAATAATGAGGTCTGCTGCTATATCGTAGCCCTTTCCTGCAGTCAAATGGCCTAGTGGCCTCATGGTGGAATGTTAATAGTTTTCACAATTTCATAATTAATAAACATTAATTTAAAAAACCCGCCGCAATCCAGTGTTTCTATGACCTATTTCATACATAGGCTGCCGCTAAGGTAATGGGTCGATAGCGACAACTAATAATAACCTTTCAGACAATAAAAAAAAGGGCTGCACCAGAAGCATCTGTACCTTTTACATTTACATTTAAGTCATTTAGCAGACGCTCTTATCCAGAGCGACTTACAGTTAGTGAGTGCATACATTATTATTTTTTTTTTTTTCATACTGGCCCCCCGTGGGAATCGAACCCACAACCCTGGCGTTGCAAACGCCATGCTCTACCAACTGAGCTACATCCCTGCCGGCCATTCCCTCCCCTACCCTGGACGACGCTGGGCCAATTGTGCGCCGCCCCATGGGTCTCCCGGTCACAGCCGGCTACGACAGAGCCTGGATTCGAACCAGGATCTCTAGTGGCACAGCGAGCACTGCTGATGCAGAGCCTTAGACCACTGCGCCACTTTTCAGACAGTAGAATTCTGCTCCTGCATAGAATGTTCAGTATTGTTTCCCTGACAACAATAAACGTTGGTGATTGATGTGCTATGTTGTTTTTCTGCTATTTTTTATGGTAGGGTAGATAGATGTGTTTTCTTTCTACTAAATGTATTTTACGTCATTGTATTTAACGAACTTCAAAAGTACTTTTTTTAGGAGAGAGTGGTCTGCAAGCAGGCAGCAAGCAGGCAGTCAGCTCGAGATCATTTGATTGGCAGTTCTGGTTGCCTAGTGATGGAAGTTAGTCCCGCTTCAGAAGTGGCATTCCTTTACGGACAAGTTAAATGCCCCTTCAGTGGAGCTTCGAAACTATCTCCAGAGAAGGTATCGTGCGGCATTTAAAAAGCTGTAGTGTATGTACCCTTTCAGACAAACAAACATACCATAGTCGAGGCGCTTTCAAGGCGCCACATTCCATGTCTGAAAGGGGTATATGTCAAACGGTTTTTTATATTTCAGTCTTCTGTGATGTATATAAAGTGTAATATTGGGATGCAAACTCAAAATGGAATACATTCAATTCTTTATCTGACATGGTACAGGTGTCTCCTTTTTTCAAAGCCCATAACCATGTGTGTGGTGTATACTTTTGTTTCAAAGTAGATTTGTTTAAGACTACCAAGAAACACTGTGTGACCTTGATTTAGCCCACTGCAGTAAAAAGTTAAATAACAAATAATGTACACAGATCTCTTAAATATACAGACAGCTAATGAACCTGCTCCAAAATACACTGCTCAAAAAAATAAAGGGAACACTAAAATAACACATCCTAGATCTGAATGAATGAAATAATCTTATTAAATACTTTTTTATTTACATAGTTGAATGTGCTGACAACAAAATCACACAAAAATTATCAATGGAAATCAAATTTATCAACCCATGGAGGTCTGGATTTGGAGTCACCCTCAAAATTAAAGTGGAAAACCACACTACAGGCTGATCCAACTTTGATTTAATGTCCTTAAAACAAGTCAAAATGAGGCTCAGTAGTGTGTGTGGCCTCCACGTGCCTGTATGACCTCCCTACAACGCCTGGGCATGCTCCTGATGAGGTGGCGGATGGTTTCCTGAGGGATCTCCTCCCAGACCTGGACTAAAGCATCCGCCAACTCCTGGACAGTCTGTGGTACAACGTGGCGTTGGTGGATGGAGCGAGACATGATGTCCCAGATGTGCTCAATTGGATTCAGGTCTGGGGAACGGGCGGGCCAGTCCATAGCATCAATGCCTTCCTCTTGCAGGAACTGCTGACACACTCCAGCCACATGAGGACTAGCATTGTCTTGCATTAGGAGGAACCCAGGGCCAACCGCACCAGCATATGGTCTCACAAGGGGTCTGAGGATCTCATCTCGGTACCTAATGGCAGTCAGGCTACCACTGGCGAGCACATGGAGGGCTGTGCGGCCCCCCAAAGAAATGCCACCCCACACCATGACTGACCCACCACCAAACCGGTCATGCTGGAGGATGTTGCAGGTAGCAGAACGTTCTCCACGGCGTCTCCAGACTCTGTCACGTCTGTCACATGTGCTCAGTGTGAACCTGCTTTCATCTGTGAAGAGCACAGGGTGCCAGTGGCGAATTTGCCAATCTTGGTGTTCTCTGGCAAATGCCAAACGTCCTGCACGGTGTTGGGCTGTAAGCACAACCCCCACCTGTGGACGTCGGGCCCTCATACCACACTCATGGAGTCTGTTTCTTACCGTTTGAGCAGACACATGCACATTTGTGGCCTGCTGGAGGTCATTTTGCAGGGCTCTGGCAGTGCTCCTCCTGCTCCTCCTTGCACAAAGGCGGAGGTAGCGGTCCTGCTGCTGGGTTGTTGCCCTCCTACGGCCTCCTCCACATCTCCTGATGTACTGGCCTGTCTCCTGGTAGCGCCTCCATGCTCTGGACACTACGCTGACAGACACAGCAAACCTTCTTGCCACAGCTCGCATTGATGTGCCATCCTGGATGAGCTGCACTACCTGAGCCACTTGTGTGGGTTGTAGACTCCGTCTCATGCTACCACTAGAGTGAAAGCACCACCAGCATTCAAAAGTGACCAAAACATCAGCCAGGAATCATAGGAACTGAGAAGTGGTCTGTGGTCACCACCTGCAGAACCACTCCTTTATTGGGGGTGTATTGCTAATTGCCTATAATTTCCACCTGTTGTTTATTCCATTTGCACAACAGCATGTGACATTTATTGTCAATCAGTGTTACTTCCTAAGTGGACAGTTTGATTTCACAGAAGTGTGATTGACTTGGAGTTACATTGTGTTGTTTAAGTGTTCCCTTTATTTTTTTGAGCAGTGTATAATGTCCTATACAGCGTAGGTGCTGCTGTGTTAGTTTACAACTTCTGGAGCTGATCCAGAGATCATCCCCATGATTGGGTTATCAGAGTCCTTTTTTGAACGCAGGAAGATGTTTAGGGGTGCTGCGATTTTTTCACTGACAGGGAAATACAGGGCTAGTAAATGCCCAGTGCACTACTTTTGTAAGACATTTTCACATATATTTTTTAAATATATATATATATATTTTATTTTGATTAGCACCCCTACTTCCCGCTGCTATGCTTACAGAACTTCTGTTCTGCAAAGACCTATGTAAGAACCACCACGTGGTCTAAAGGGTTGTGCTACAGCTACAGTATAAAGCTCAGCCGTTTACACTAAGTGGCACCCAGGAGCTTCACATGAGAAGAGTCCTATCACTTGGACTCCCTTCCGCAAGAACCTGCACTCCCTTCAAGCAAGACAGTCAGACATTCTCAATCCTGACAACCATGTCACCTCCAAGCACTACAGGTAAGATGATGTTCTACAATGAAGGTTAAAGCGTTTTGCAGTCATACATTGCCTAATTTATTTTCATCTCATCTTTAAAACATATGACTATTCAGTTTGTAAAAAAAATCTAAAGAGTACTTTATTGTAGGCCTATTAATCCCCACAAGCTCCTTTAATACAATTTCTAGTTCTGCTTTGATATCTATCTGCTGTTTTGCTTTGTAGGTCTTCAGGTGTTTTTGGGTAATAATATTGTCTGGACTTGAAAAATACTAAGTCAAATAAGAATAAGGATCCTAGAGTGATTAGTGGCAATTTCCTCAGAAACGGACCAGGAAAGTTTGAGATTGGTCATAATAAGGGAGTATATTTTAACAAGCTATACCAAGTCAAAGTACTACATTAACTATTTATTCTGCTTCTCAGATTCAACCACTGGTTTGACGTAATGGCCCTCCTGCATCAGTTCAAAATCGCAGGGGGCCAGGTGACCTACAAGAGCCGCATCCGGGGCAGTGATTGCTACACGGCTAACAGTGAGAACAGCCGCATCGTTTTGTCTGAATTCGGGACTGTGGTCATGCCAGAACCCTGCAAGAACTTCTTCCAGCGCTTTCTGTCCCGGTTCGAACTGCCAAGTGAGTTTACAGTTCAAGGCTGCAGTTCAAGAGTTTGAGGTCAAAGAGTGTAGAATATATGACAGACAGAAAATTGATTTGCGTTGTGCTAATCACATGAAAACTGTCTTTGGTCCACAGAAGCGTCAGATAATGACAATGTGAGCTTTGTGACAAACAAGGGTGATTACCTCCTGAGCACGGAGACAAACTTCATGCACAAGGTGGACCGTGAGACACTTGAGACAAAGGAAAAGGTAGGCCTTGGTTAATAAAATATTGTATCAGAGCTACTAGTGTGCAGCTTTTTCTTTTCTATTTAAAAGGCCTACACACACTACCTACAGTAGCCTACATACAGTGAGGGAAAAAAGTATTTGATCCCCTGCTGATTTTGTATGTTTGCCCACTGACAAAGAAATGATCAGTCTATAATTTTAATGGTAGGTTTATTTGAACAGTGAGAGACAGAATAACAACAAAAAAATCCAGAAAAACGCATGTCAAAAATGTTATAAATTGATTTGCATTTTAATGAGGGAAATAAGTATTTGACCCCTTTGCAAAACATGACTTAGTACTTGGTGGCAAAACCCTGGTTGGCAATCACAGAGGTCAGACGTTTCTTGTAGTTGGCCACCAGGTTTGCACACATCTCAGGAGGGATTTTGTCCCACTCCTCTTTGCAGATCTTCTCCAAGTCATTAAGGTTTCGAGGCTGACATTTGGCAACTCGAACCTTCAGCTCCCTCCAAAGATTTTATATGGGATTAAGGTCTGGAGACTGGCTAGGCCACTCCAGGACCATAATGTGCTTCTTCTTGAGCCACTCCTTTGTTGCCTTGGCCGTGTGTTTTGGGTCATTGTCATGCTGGAATACCCATCCACAACCCATTTTCAATGCCCTGGCTGAGGGAAGGAGGTTCTCACCCAAGATTTGACGGTACATGGCCCCGTCCATCTTCCCTTTGATGCAGTGAAGTTGTCCTGTCCCCTTAGCAGAAAAACACCCCCAAAGCATAATGTTTCCACCTCCATGTTTGACGCTGGGGATGGTGTTCTTGGGGTTATAGGCAGCATTCCTCCTCCTTCAAACATGGCGAGTTGAGTTGATGCCAAAGAGCTCGATTTTGGTCTCATCTGACCACAACACTTTCACCCAGTTCTCCTCTGAATCATTCAGATGTTCATAGGCAAACTTCAGACTGGCCTGTATATGTGCTTTCTTGAGCAGGGGGACCTTGCAGGCGCTGCAGGATTTCAGTCCTTCACGGCGTAGTGTGTTACCAATTGTTTTCTTGGTGACTATGGTCCCAGCTGCCTTGAGATCATTGACAAGATCCTCCCGTGTAGTTCTGGGCTGATTCCTCACCGTTCTCATGATCATTGCAACTCCACGAGGTGAGATCTTGCATGGAGCCCCAGGCCGAGGGAGATTGACAGTTATTTTGTGTTTCTTCCATTTGCGAATAATCGCACCAACTGTTGCCACCTTCTCACCGGGCTGCTTGGCGATGGTCTTGTAGCCGATTCCAGCCTTGTGTAGGTCTACAATCTTGTCCCTGACATCCTTGGAGAGCTCTTTGGTCTTGGCCATGGTGGAGAGTTTGGAATCTGATTGATTGATTGCTTCTGTGGACAGGTGTCTTTTATACAGGTAACAAACTGAGATTAGGAGCACTCCCTTTAAGAGTGTGCTCCTAATCTCAGCTCGTTACCTGTATAAAAGACACCTGGGAGCCAGAAATCTTTCTGATTGAGAGGGGGTCAAACACTTATTTCCCTCATTAAAATGCAAATCAATTTATAACATTTTTGACATGCGTTTTTCTGGATTTTTTTGTTGTTATTCTGTCTCTCACTGTTCAAATAAACCTACCATTAAAATTATAGACTGATCATTTCTTTGTCAGTGGGCAAACGTACAAAATCAGCAGGGGATCAAATACTTTTTTCCCTCACTGTACATAACGGGTTGCATTCAGTCTAAACAAATAGCCAAATGTTTTTGTTTAAATATTTATTAAGAGACCTATTGCATTATAGGATAGCATGATTGAAGGGCTATCAAGACATTTCATTTTTGTTGTTGCTCTCAACAGGTGAACTGGAGCAAATTCATCGCTGTCAATGGAGCCACTGCCCACCCCCACACAGACCCTGATGGTACAACATACAACATGGGGAATTCTTTCTCTGCTAAAGGTAAGTAAGGAACTAGCCCCTGCCCATTCACTAACCACCTTCCACCACCAATGCCTGGGAGGAGGATGGCTTCCTGGTTATGGACCTCTGAGTCGCAGACGATGGCAAAGCCATCAACAACTACATGGTTCAGAACATGCGCAAGTCAGGAGAGGCTCTGGACGAGGTTAGTATCAGTCTAAACTGAAGGGTATAACACTTCATAACTTTAATGAATAAGCATTAATAAACTATTTTTAAAATACTAACTACAAATACGTATTACATTTGTAAACATTTATAAGCATTTGAATTCAGAAGCATTTATCATTAAAAAAAATATTTTATAAAGCATCTATAAGCATTTATAATGGCTTGTTCATTCAAGTTAAAAGTGTAACCAGCTGAAGTCACTAGGATCAGGAATCCTACGTGTGAACTGCTTGAGGTTGAAAATATTTTTTATTTTTTATTACACACTATGTGCAGTGTTCTCCGGCGATTTGTCTTGCCTCTCAACGTGGACAAGGAGACACCATGTGGGCAAAATCTGAACACACGCCCAACAGTATCACCACTGCCGACAAGGTATGTGTACAATAATCATGCACAAGTCTTCTATTATACATCACTGCTGATATACATCACAAGTTCATTAAACAAAAGGTTATGTGATTACCCTCCACATTATGTGAATATTTACTATCAGAGCCTTTAAACACTCTCTCTGCAGGTGTTCTATACACATGAGGATCTGCATGATGAGGAACTCCATAAGTACGGTGGTCTCGAGTTCCCACAAATCAACTATGCCAAGTACAACACCAAACCATATCGCTACTTCTACGGTTGCGGTTTCAGACATCTGGTAGTAGACACTCATCAAAATGGACCTCCAAGGCAAAAAAATGAATGTTGGTTCAGATATATTGATTCTTCCTTCCTTTTTAGAAACACGGAAGAATATCTGCATCAGTAAAACAGTACTCTATTGCGATGAGTGATGTAGGCCTAGGTCATATTTGGCAGTTTGACGTTAGGAAATTCAATGCTGACCTTCACACTACTGTGCTTCAAGGTGTGGGAGCATCCTGGACTGTACCCTTCAGAGCCTGTCTTTGAACCCTTGCCTGGCGCTACAGAAGAGGATGAAGGTGTCATTATGTCTGTGGTCATCACTCAAAATAAGGTCAGTTCCCCTTTAAACACCTATGCCCATTGGTTAACAATTGTTGCACTCTTAACTCCCAATGTTAGCCTCCTAACTTAATGTAAACATGTGCCCCTTCTCCAGGACAAAAGCACTTTCCTGTTGGTTTTGGATGCCAAGACATTCGAAGAGTTGAGCAGAGCTGAGGTGCCTGTGAACATTCCCTATGGTTTCCATGGGACATTCAACTCCACTATAACTCATAGAAGGCCTCTATCAGAAAAAAATTAGGAGAGGCCCATCAGAGTAAAAACACAAAGGCCATGTATTAAGAAAAGCCATGGGCTAATCTTTTTATAATTTGGTCCACTCACCCAGTGGCGGCTCCTGAAAAAATTCTCAGGGGGGGCAATTTTTCTGATGATTTAGGTGACCTACACACATTTTTAAAAAGATATGTCCAGCAACAACATGAAGACAGGGGCAGCATATAAGTCAATACCAGAAGCATTTATTGACTGATCTCAAAAGTGTTGGCTTACAAAATCAAAATAAGTTATCACAGTAAAAATAATCAAGGGTGTTCTTTCACATTCCTCAACACTGCATAAACAATATGCATTTCCATAAACAAATGAAATATCAGCTGAAAATACAGCATCTTGGTATTTGTTCAGATTGCAGGATCAACAAGAGCTTTTACCACATTTTTTGCCTCATGGTTGAATTGGAAATATGTGCACCTGAGCATAATTCACAACAAGCAAGCAGGAGCTTTTGATAGAGGCTACTGAAAACATTGATGCAAGTTATTGGTAATAAGACATTTTTATAGACTTCCATATTCTGCCCTCTTGTATAGATTTGTGAAAATGAACAGTGATAGACATTTTGCCTGAAAACAGAATTTGAAAGTAATTTCTAGAAAAGGTAAACACAGCTATCTGTATGGCTTTGTAAAAACGAACAACCATATTCTGGCCAATTGTATAGATTTGTAAATATGAACAACCATATTCTGGCCAATTGTATAGATTTGTAAAAATGAACATGAACAGATTATTTTTTTAAAAACTTTTTTTTAAATGAAAAATAACTATTTTAAACAACATCAACTGTGAACTGATTTGGGCGTGTGTGTGTTAAAGAGACAGACAGGGAGGGACAAAGAGAGAGAGAGGCTACATTACTTGTACTGAAACTGTTCTCTTCTCTGTTTCAATACAGCAAAGCGTTCAATGACTTTCTCATTGAAATCAGGCATGCTGAGGACTAGTTCCCTCTCCATGGAAAGCATGGCCAGTGCATTCAGACGTTCCTGGCCCATTGAATTTCGCAGGAATGTCTTAACTCGTGTCAAAGTTGAGAAACATCTCTCAGCTTCAGCTGTTGTCATGGGAGTAGTTATGAGGATGTTCAACAGAGTCACAGTCTCAGAGAACGTCTCCTGGAGGTTGTAGCTCATGAGAACCTGGTACAGTGCCAGTGCACCACAGCATCCCTTGAATTCAGGATTCTCATAGATCAGAGATAGTTCTGTCTTGAGCTTTGCCTTGCTCAGCATGGGGTATGCATTCACAGTGGCATTCAGAGCCTCATCAGGAAATGAATGGCAGTACCTTTCAAACATGTCTGCTTGCAGTAAGGTAGCACTCACAAGGTGGCCAGAGAAAGAGAACCTTTCTTTGGTGTGATCCAGGATGGTGTTGCAGACCTCTTCAGACAGCCTCTGCTTCTCCTCTTCTCTCAAAGCTGTTCTGGGTCTTTTGGCTCCTGTTGCTTCTTGCAGCTGCTGTTGAGAGGAGTCCCTGAAGGCAAACAGACCAATGTGTTTGTTGGCTTTGTACAGTACTGTTGTCTATGTGATGCACAGGTATATGCAATGTATCCATGTATAGTACAAATACTTCAGTTCCACTTAAAATGGGCAGGGATGCATAAAGTCTTTAGTGTTTAAGTTAGCCTTTGTGTCTCACATAGCCTGGATGTTCAGCACAGTATACAGTGGTGCTCATAAGCTTATGATCCCATGCTAAAGTTGACTAAAAAGAGGAATAAAAAAGAAAAGAAAATTGGTGTCCTTAAAGGTTGGATTTTCCAACTTTTTTAATTAAGTCATTAAGATCAATTTCCAAAAGATGATTTTTTTATTCCTCTTTTTAGTCAACTTTAGAATGTGTTCATACACTTATGAGCACCACTGTACAGTACACATAGTATATAAAATAAGCTAGATTACACCACTGGCCATATATAATGAGAATAATGTAATTTCAAACACAAATGCAGTCTCCTTTCATGCATACATTTTCAAATAAAGCTCTGCTTTGAGAAAGATCGAATGATATTGTTTAATCTTACCTTATGGCCTGCACACTGCTTGTGAAGCTGTCGAGGGCACGTTTGATAAAGACAGCATCGATGTCCTTCTTCTGTAGCTTCTGGTACAGAATGTCGACGTGGGGCATGATTTTGTGAAAAAGCCGCAGGAAAAAAATAAAATCTTCATCATGTAGCATCCTCACGTAGCCAGATGCCTCTCTCACGGTGGGCTGGTCAAATGAACCCAATGAACCCGTCCGAATGGCTTCAAAACATTCTATGAGGTCGTCTCGATTCTCGTAGACAGTGTTCACGACTCTGCTTAGTAGAAACCTGTTGAATTATTAAATTTGGTCTGGGAGGTCCTAATTGTTTCGTTGCCAATTTATCTTGATTTGTTCGCCGACAAAAAGGAACTTCTTTCAAAGAGACAATCGAGTTGCACTGAAGGCTAGCCATTTTGACAGTAGTAGTGAATTGATTGATGAGGCTACCCGCTCTTTTCTTAGTTACGTTCATGGTTATGTTACGTATGACGAAAGCGCGTAAGTGCAAGCCCTCAGAAACCCATAGAGATTGTATTGAAAGCTCTGATATTTGAAAAAAATTGATTTTACATTAGAGGCTATGAGAGACTTCTGGGCGATTTTCAACCTGACTGAAATCGCCCCAAAACGGGCGGGGACATTTGAAGCACGACTTTAGCCTGATTGGACATTTAGTGGCAGATCAGACGTCTAGATTAGAACACTGATAACTACTGTTGCCGTGATATAATTGATTAGAAAAAAAAACCTTCCTTTTCCCGTTTGGCAGTGCGTCGCCCATATCGCCCTAATGAACACACCGCCCCTGCACTCACCACCAAAAAGGTTGTAATCAAAATTCAAAAATACTATTGGAAAAAGTGAAATATAGACTATGATAACGCCACGCAATATTCCATGTGATACACAGATTAATTAGTACTACAGTCTGAACGGAATCCATTGACTCGTGTGGTCACTCACACAACACAGTTACTTCCTAAAAGTTAGTTTCCTGATTGGTAATGGTTAGGCTATTTTTCACTGCCTCAAGTAAAAAAGATAATTGATTTTATACATTTTCAAAGACGAAAAGTCAATCTTTTAAACCTATTTATTGTTTACAGTAGGCTACATAGGCCTAGATCTACAGTATTCTAGATGCTTAAATATAAATAAATAGCTCATTTATAAAGAAATGAACCACAATGACACTCACATTGTGTTTGCCAATGTGGGATTAAGAGTGAAGACAGTCAACATAAAAAGCATACAGGTCAAAATAAAAGTACTGACATGTTACTGATTGAGATCCGTGAGGAAATATTTACAAATGTCTTTAGCGCATAGGCCTATGTAGCTAGTCTATCCCTGCAGTTTGTCAGAAATAAGAGCCAAGGTACGCCTCAAGTGATCTTTCTTCTCTTTCAGGTGTGACTCCAAGTTTCTGGCCTCCATCAATATGTCTTCCAACTCCCTAACTTGTGAGGCATCTATTGCAGCCCTCTCACTGTAGGAAACAAAGGCACTATGTATGATGGACATGATGGTGTGTACATATTATTTCAAGAAAAGCATATTCGCCAATGTGTGTATGCAGTATGCTTGCCTGGGTACCTAACGTAATATGTGATGTGGGCTAAGCACTGACATTTAAACTCCAAAATGTGATCTGACAGGAAGAATGGAATGAAAACCTGTTCTCAACACATTTGTCACATTACCTTTGTTGTACCTACCTCAAAACTTCAGAGTATTTGGAAAATAGCATGTTGACCTCTCTATTTGCACCTAGCATTTGAAGGAAAATAAAAACAGTAGTAATGTCAATTGCTCTGTATCAAACACATATTTAAAAAAGAATATATATAAACACATATTAAAAATTGTAGAATAATAGTGAAGACATCAAAACTATGAAATAATACATAAGTGTTAAACAAATCAAAATATAGTTTATATTTGAGATTCTTCAAATAGCCACTCTTTGCCTTGATGACAACTTTGCACACTCTTGGCATTCTCTCAACCAGCTTCATGAGGTAGTCACCTGGAATGCATTTCAATTAACAGTTGTGCCTTCTTAAAAGCTAATTTGTGGAATTTATTTAAGTCTTAATGCGTTTGAGCCAATCAGTTGTGTTGTGACAAGGTAGGGGGGTATACAGAAGATAGCCCTATTTGGTAAAAGACCACATTGAAGGTCAGTCAATACGGAAAATGTCATGAACTTTGAAAGTTTTGCAGTCGCAAAAACCATCAAGCGCTATGATGAAACTGGCTCTCATGAGGACCGCCACAGGAATGGAAAACCCAGAGTTACCTCTGCTGCAGAGGATACGTTCATTAGAGTTACCAGCCTCAGAAATTACAGCCCAAATAAATGCTTCACAGTTCAAGTAAGAGACACATCTCAACATCAACTGTTCAGAGGGGACTGTGTGAATCAGGCCTTCATGGTCGAATTGCTGCAAAGAAACCACTACTGAAGGACACCAATAAGAAGAAGAGACTTGCTTGGACCAAGAAACACGAGCAATGGACATTAGACCGGTGGAAATGTGTCCTTTGGTCTGGAGTCCAAATTTGAGATTTTTGGTTCCAACCGCTGTGTCTTTGTGAGACGCGGTGTGGGTGAACGGATGATCTCTGCATGTGTATTTCCCACCGTAAAGCATGGAGGAGGAGGTGTTATGGTGTGGGGGTGCTTTGCTGGTGACACTGTCTGTGATTTATTTAGAATTCAAGGCACACTTAACCAGCATGGCGACCACAGCATTCTGCAGCGATATGCCATCCCATCTGGTTTGGGCTTAGTGGGACTATCATTTGTTTTTCAAGAGGACAATGACCCAACACACCTCCAGGCTGTGTAAGGGCTAATTTACCAAGAAGGAGAGTGATGGAGTGCTGCATCAGATGACCTGGCCTCCACAATCCCCCGACCTCAACCAAATTGAGATGGTTTGGGATGAGTCGGACGGCAGAGTGAAGGAAAAGCAGCCAACAAGTGCTCAGCATATGTGGGAACTTCTTCAAGACTGTTGGAAAAGCATTCCAGGTGAAGCTGGTTGAGAGAATGCCAAGAGTGTGCAAAGCTGTCATCAAGGCAAAGGGTGACTATTTGAAGAATCTCAAATATAAAATATATTTTGATTTGTTTAACACTTTTTGGGTTACTACATGATTCCATATGTGTTATTTCCATATGTGTTGATGTATTCACTATTATTCTACAATGTAGAAAATAGTAAAAATAAAGAAAAACCCTTGAATGAGTAGGTGTGTCCAAACATTTGACTGGAACTGTATATTATATATATATATATATATATATATATATATATATAAAATAATACATGCCATTTACCAGACACTTTTATCCAAAGCAACTTACAGTCATAAGTGCATACATTTTAAGTACGGGTTGGTCTCAGGAATTGAACCCACTATCCTGGCATTGCAAGCGCCATGCTCTACCACCTGAGCTACATTCTATTGTTAGATATATATTATTTATTGTAAATGGTATCAATTGAGACAAACATTTATCATTCTGATCTATGAAACAGAGAGATAGAAATGATTCCTAACGCAAATATGTGCATACCTGTAAGTGCAGCCTCAAACAAATCTGAAGAGTATGAAGCTGGTGTTTTACTACTATGTGCTTTTTTCTTTTTTGCTGAAGAATTGTCACAATATGCAGATGTTTGTTCAACCTATATATATATATGAAAGAGAAAAGACAACTCAAATACTACAACACAATCAATATGGATTTGCATGGACTAACTAATAAGAAATGGAAATTGATATGGTTGAGTTGAGAATAGATGGAAATACGTAAGTTAGCTAGGCTATCCCAAAGGTGGATGAAAGACTTGTTTTTCTAATGGCCCTGGGAGTTTATGTACTTTTTCAGCAGATGACATCAAAACTGCAGCATTTTCTGACCTCTTGTGCAAATTTTTGTTTTGGGCCTTTGTTGTCCATTCCCCTTCCTGTCGGTGGCATCACTCTGCCTGGCATTGGTCACTTAAACGTTTCTCACACTCACTGCTTGCTAAAAAGTTACCTGTAGAGATGTGTGGTTAGCTACAATGGCTGATGAGAGACTATATTTGAACACCGTGTAACATGCTATCGTTAACGTTCGCTAATGTTTCTGCGCCTGTCTAACTGAAAAACTGCAGCTAGCTAACAACATGCTATCGGCTGCAGAATCAGCGCAGCTGACCTCAACTAACAAACACTGCTAGCTAACGTTTGGTTAGCCAACGGTAGCTGGTAGGGCCTTATCGCTAGTTAGCTAGAATTTTTGCATAAACACATCCTTAATTTATTTCAAAGTAATCCATCAACGTAATTTACAAAAATGCGTTATGTAAAATTGATTCGCTAGCTACCTAAAACATTTTAAAAGTAGACTTACTTTTGTGTATCCGTTTGGTTTGCCAAATTCGAATTCCGAGTGATTTGCGCGAGCCAATCAGAAAGTTCCATACATTTCACCAACCTACTGTTCAAACTAGTATGATCTACCGCCACCTACTGTATAGACAGTGAAGAATATTAAAGACATTTTTTAACAAAATCCAATATCCCAAAATATTCAAATATTTTATTGGCAATGTCTGATTATGCAATGAGCCTCTGGTACTTTATATACAGCAAGTCCTGAATTGGTTGATGTTTATCCTTGTGTATTTTCAGTCCATGTGCTGCTTGGCTGTCTTGTCTATAATAAAGGCAGTCTGAATTCCCCTTTGTTACCTGTGAATTTATTTAACTACATCTGTAATTGAAGATAAGTGTTTTTATATGAGAAAATTAATTGCCATTTAAAATCTGTGTCTGCTGTATGAACACAACAATGATCCTCCTGATGGCAGTTTCCGAAAAACCTGTGCCTGGTCAGCACAATTGGTATAGGGTAGCTACACCTCCCTTCATCCTCAATGACACATAACCACAGATAGATCAATGAGCTGTTGCAGACCAACCCAGCCAGAGCTAGTTATAACAATATTTGACATAACTACTGAAGATTTCCTCCCCTTGTAAGATTTATGTGCAGGCCCCTAGGGATCTCCCATGGCAAAGTCTATGTCCCTTTCCACACCTCTCTGCCTTTGGGGAAATAATCAGCAATGTGCAGTAGAACAATCTGTATGTGTAAGGATCTAATTGAGAGTCAATTATTGCAAGCAGCCAGCCTTTTTTCAAGTCATAAATCGCACACAGGAATTACTGGTGACCTCAAGATTGATTCAGATTATTCCAAAGGTGTACCTATAACCAACTCCAAAGGTGTACCTATAACCAAATAAACCATATGTAGCCAGTTGTCTATAAGACACATTTATTTCACAATCTATTGTGAAAGTGTATCACCGAATCAATGAAAAAACACAGTGAAAAAGCCCCCATATCCACTTTACTTCATATCAAATCCTGTTGCTAATGTACTCGGTTGGAGACAACTGTCATATTGACTCTGCATGTGATATAAGCGCAGGTTGTGTTTTCGCACATTTGCAGTACAGTAGGTTATGTTGTATGATTTGTCATGTCTGCCTATTGTCCAGTGGTGGGAGTGAGACCTAAGATACTTGTTTGTGTGAACATACAGTGGGGAAAAAAAGTATTTAGTCAGCCACCAATTGTGCAAGTTCTCCCACTTAAAAAGATGAGAGAGGCCTGTAATTTTCATCATAGGTACACGTCAACTATGACAGACAAAATGAGAGAAAAAAATCTAGAAAATCACATTGTAGGATTTTTTATGAATTTATTTGCAAATTATGGTGGAAAATAAGTATTTGGTCAATAACAAAATTTTCTCAATACTTTGTTATATACCCTTTGTTGGCAATGACACAGGTCAAACGTTTTCTGTAAGTCTTCACAAGGTTTTCACACACTGTTGCTGGTATTTTGGCCCATTCCTCCATGCAGATCTCCTCTAGAGCAGTGATGTTTTGGGGCTGTCGCTGGGCAACACGGACTTTCAACTCCCTCCAAAGATTTTCTATGGGGTTGAGATCTGGAGACTGGCTAGGCCACTCCAGGACCTTGAAATGCTTCTTACGAAGCCACTCCTTCGTTGCCCGGGCGGTGTGTTTGGGATCATTGTCATATTGAAAGACCCAGCCACGTTTCATCTTCAATGCCCTTGCTGATGGAAGGAGGTTTTCACTCAAAATCTCACGATACATGGCCCCATTCATTCTTTCCTTTACACGGATCAGTCATCCTGGTCCCTTTGCATAAAAACAGCCCCAAAGCATGATGTTTCCACCCCCATGCTTCACAGTAGGTATGGTGTTCTTTGGATGCAACTCAGCATTCTTTGTCCTCCAAACACGACGAGTTGAGTTTTTACCAAAAAGTAATATTTTGGTTTCATCTGACCATATGACATTCTCCCAATCCTCTTCTGGATCATCCAAATGCACTCTAGCAAACTTCAGACGGGCCTGGACATGTACTGGCTTAAGCAGGGGGACACGTCTGGCACTGCAGGATTTGAGTCCCTGGCGGCGTAGTGTGTTACTGATGGTAGGTTTTGTTACTTTGGTCCCAGCTCTCTGCAGGTCATTCACTAGGTCCCCCCGTGTGGTTCTGGGATTTTTGCTCACCGTTCTTGTGATCATTTTGTCCCCACGGGGTGAGATCTTGCGTGGAGCCCCAGATCGAGGGAGATTATCAGTGATCTTGTATGTCTTCCATTTCCTAATAATTGCTCCCACAGTTGATTTCTCCAAACCAAGCTGCTTACCTATTGCAGATTCAGTCTTCCCAGCCTGGTGCAGGTCTACAATTTTGTTTCTGGTGTCCTTTGACAGCTCTTTGGTCTTGGCCATAGTGGAGTTTGGAGTGTGACTGTTTGAGGTTGTGGACAGGTGTCTTTTATACTGATAACAAGTTCAAACAGGTGCCATTAATACAGGTAACGAGTGGAGGACAGAGGAACTTCTTAAAGAAGAAGTTACAGGTCTGTGAGAGCCAGAAATCTTGCTTGTTTGTAGGTGACCAAATACTTATTTTCCACCATAATTTGCAAAGAAATTCATTAAAAATCCTACAATGTGATTTTCTGGAGAAAAAAATTCTCAATTTGTCTGTCATAGTTGACGTGTACCTATGATGAAAATTACAGGCCTCTCTCATCTTTTTAAGTGGGAGAACTTGCACAATTGGTGACTGACTAAATACTTTTTTTCCCCACTGTAGCTGCTTTATTCTATTCTGATCTATTCTATTCCCCTTGTAGATAATGATGATAATGGTGAATCATATACAAGGAAAAGCTTTGCTTTCTGGGGACATATTTATTTAGTTTATGGCAAATAGATTATGGGCAAAATGCTTTAAAACCGCACAGGCTTAAAGCAGTAGCTTAGATGATCAAGACAGTCGTAAATTGAATGCAATTTCAAGTGTTCTTTGCTTAGCAATTTTAAACACAATACACCACACATGTGGATGCAGTACAATGCCATTAAACGCACTGAGGATGACACAAAAAAGTGTACAACGTATTTCCTTTGTGGTTGTCTTGAAAATACATAAAAACTAAATATACACAACATTATAACATTATAACATGAAAACTAAATTAATCTCAAATAAATCTCATCAATAGGAAGGAAACCTTATTAGGAATAAAATAGATGACCAAGTAAAGTTAGCTGAAACAATCATACTTTATTTAAGCCAGTGGTTCCCAACCAGGGGTACTAGGACTATCCACATGGGGTACTTGAGAAGACTCATGAGACCATAGGCCTACTGGTAAAATGCACATGAGGGGGTACTTCAGGGGTATCCGGGCAGAGCAAAATTCAGTTGGTGGTACAATAACTGAAAAAGGTTGGGAACCACTGCTTTAAGGCAATGAGGTTTAAAAGCATTTTGCCCATACACTATTTCTTAAGGTTTATCTTAAAAATCCCTAGCATAGGGATGGTTTTATGGTTTGGTGCACCATTCCATTCATCTGCACCAGTGTTAAGAAAATAGCTTTTTCCTGCTATGCTCCTATAGCGCAGGGGTCTGATATTGGCAACACTGGCTATGGTGTGATGGCTATGAGAGTCTCTAATTAAATTAAAATAACCAGACAGGTAACCTGGGGCAAGGTCTGTCATGTACAACTTTAAAAACCATCAACAGTTTGATCTGCACCTCCCGGAGATCAACTGTTCAGTTCCCTGAAATGATTAGGACCAATGTGCTTCCTAGGGCTGAGCTTGAGTAGGCCTATAATTCAAATTTATTATTTTTTAGGGCCGTTTGAAGTTTGTCCTTCAGATTTTTGTCCTTCAGATTTTTTTGCTAGCATGTGTAAGGACTTGACATGTAGTGTAGTATACTTAACAAATAAGGCACGAGGGTGTGTGGTATATGGTTAATATACCACAGCTAAGGGCTGTTCTTAAGCACGACGCAACGCGGAGTATTTTTTGTTTTTTTACTAGCAGACTTTGCTTAGGGGAGGGTGTGTTGGGGGACGTGCCTCCTACGCTTACTCCAATCGCCACTCGAAGGAGCTCTTCTAGTTACCTAAACGAAACATACACAAACATGGCGACAAGACAGACAGTCAAGATGCTGCCCCCTCTTAGGTTTACAATATATTTGTTATTTTTCTTTGCTCCTGGGACATTTTCCTCCACCCTTCGTCTTCATCGAGACCAGCGGTTCTTGCTACCGCAGGACACGGGTTTTTCTACGGTGAACGCAAATGAAGAATTTATCCATGGAATAGGCACGGATGCGAAGCGACGAGCTGTACGTAGTGCAAGGGAAGACAGAGCTTCGGGCATGTATCAGCATCGCAATCGGCGGAGTGCAGTCGAACCACCCGTGCCAAAGGTGTATGGACAGGTAATGCATTACTTCTATTGAAAGCAGGTAGCTAGCTGGTCTCACGTCACAATCAGAAGGTTATCTATAGTTAGCTACAGTAGCTAGTTAGGTTTAGCAGCTAGCTAGTTTAGTAACGGACCTCAGCAGCCTCTATGGCTCTCTCATTTAATGCACGACCCTTGACGAGGAGAGGTGAAGAGCAAATAACCAAAGCCAGGCTGTCGAAGTCAGTCTAGCTTATTGCCAAGTGTGTGACTATCAGTACCACTGTAGCTAGGTAGCTACTAGACGTTTTAGCACACACTGTTACCTTTCAGCATACGATGCCATGGCGGGCTCTTTCTTCCCAATGTAAGGCTTGAGCTGCCATAGAATGCTCTGGCATAACCTATTCAACTACGTCACTGTATCTAGTAAACAAACCCTCCGTTTTAATGTCTAACTTACCGACAGACCGACACACATGTATTGCACGAAGTCTTTGAATTATCTTCTTAACCAATCCAATACATTATTTTATTTTTATCTGACTAGTTTTTCTGAAACCTGGTGATCATAGCATGTCACCACAATCACACAGTTGTCTGTAAAATCCAAATGACAGTATACATAGACTTAGCAGTAACACACACCATCATAGCTGGGTGACAGACATCAACAACAACATAATTCTAATTAGCCAAGAGTGCCACTATAGAGTCTTCCCAATGTGGACGTGCATGCCTTACTGGCGGGTGCAAATATTGTGAAGAGCCAATAGTGGCAGTCTTTGCATATTAGGTTTTTGTTGTGGTGGATTTCTGTAAGATGTTGGGCTGTTGTGTATGATGAGGTCACATTGCTGAGTATCTCCATAATGTGATTTCTTACAGTGGGGAAAAAAATTATTTAGTCAGCCACCAATTGTGCAAGTTCTCCCACTTAAAAAGATGAGAGGCCTGTAATTTTCATCATAGGTACACATCAACTATGACAGACAAATAGAGCATTTTTTTTGCAGAAAATCACATTGTAGGATTTTTAATGAATTTATTTGCAAATTATGGTGGAAAATAAGTATTTGGTCACCTACAAACAAGCAAGATTTCTGGCTCTCACAGACCTGTAACTTCTTCTTTAAGAGGCTCCTCTGTCCTCCACTCGTTACCTGTATTAATGGCACCTGTTTGAACTTGTTATCAGTATAAAAGACACCTGTCCACAACCTCAAACAGTCACACTCCAAACTCCACTATGGCCAAGACCAAAGAGCTGTCAAAGGACACCAGAAACAAAATTGTAGACCTGCACCAGGCTGGGAAGACTGAATCTGCAATAGGTAAGCAGCTTGGTTTGAAGAAATCAACTGTGGGAGCAATTATTAGGAAATGGAAGACATACAAGACCACTGATAATCTCCCTCGATCTGGGGCTCCACGCAAGATCTCACCCCGTGGGGTCAAAATGATCACAAGAACGGTGAGCAAAAATCCCAGAACCACACGGGGGGACCTAGTGAATGACCTGCAGAGAGCTGGGACCAAAGTCACAAAGCCTACCATCAGTAACACACTACGCCGCCAGGGACTCAAATCCTGCAGTGCCAGACGTGTCCCCCTGCTTAAGCCAGTACATGTCCAGGCCCGTCTGAAGTTTGCTAGAGTGCATTTGGATGATCCAGAAGAGGATTGGGAGAATGTCATATGGTCAGATGAAACCAAAATATAACTTTTAGGTAAAAACTCAACTCGTCGTGTTTGGAGGGCAAAGAATGCTGAGTTGCATCCAAAGAACACCATACCTACTGTGAAGCATGGGGGTGGAAACATCATGCTTTGGGGCTGTTTTTCTGCAAAGGGACCAGGACGACTGATCCGTGTAAAGGAAAGAATGAATGAGGCCATGTATCGTGAGATTTTGAGTGAAAACCTCCTTCCATCAGCAAGGGCATTGAAGATGAAACGTGGCTGGGTCTTTCAGCATGACAATGATCCCAAACACACTGCCCGGGCAACGAAGGAGTGGCTTCGTAAGAAGCATTTCAAGGTCCTGGAGTGGCCTAGCCAGTCTCCAGATCTCAACCCCATAGAAAATCTTTGGAGGGAGTTGAAAGTCCGTGTTGCCCAGCGACAGCCCCAAAACATCACTGCTCTAGAGGAGATCTGCATGGAGGAATGGGCCAAAATACCAGCAACAGTGTGTGAAAACCTTGTGTAGACTTACAGAAAACGTTTGACATACATTTACATTTTACATTTTAGTCATTTAGCAGACGCTCTTATCCAGAGCGACTTACATATTATTTTTTTTTTATACTGGCCCCCTGTGGGAATCGAACCCACAACCCTGGCGTTGCAAACACCATGCTCTATCAACTGAGCTACATCCCTGCCGGCCATTCCCTCCCCTACCCTGGACGACGCTGGGCCAATTGTGCGCCGCCCATGAGTCTCCCGGTCGCGGCCGGCTGCGACAGAGCCTGGATTCGAACCAGGATCTAGTGGCACAGTTTTGCACTGCGATGCAGTGCCTTAGACCACTGCGCCACTCAGGAGTATACTCAGTTTGACCTGTGTCATTGCCAACAAAGGGTATATAACAAAGTATTGAGAAACTTTTGTTATTGACCAAATACTTATTTTCCACCATAATTTGCAAATAAATTCATTAAAAATCCTACAATGTGATTTTCTGGATTTTTTTTTCCTTACACAATTGGTGGCTGACTAAATATTTGCACAATTGGTGGCTGACTAAATACTTTTTTCCCCCACTGTATTTATCACGGTAGTCTGCCCTTCAGTATTCTCTGCATTCCACACATCCTCAAATTGGAACAGAAATGGTTGCTTATGTGATCAATTTTGGATATGTTTTTGCCACTTTAGAATTCCTCTGCTGGTCAGATGTCATGTTTTGTTCCGGAGGGTGTTCATTGAATCAGATGTGGATTTAGGTTAACTGTAGGCCAGATGATGTCTTCTTGGAATGAGAGTAAGCTGTTGTTTAGCCCCCCCCCTTCAGAAATATCCCCAAAAAGCACACAGTTTTTCCCCCCACCGAACACAAAATAAACACAGCCAGTGTCTCCTCACACACCCATTTCCCTAACTGTCACAGTAGAGGAAAGCCAATATCTTGAGGGATTAAATAGCTTTGTTCATTAGATATGGCACTCATGGGGATTCAGCCTAGAAGTTTCTAAAGGTGCTGCAGCGAAAATGTATAACATTCACAAAAAGGTACATACTTTGTTTATAAATAAGTAAGGTAGGCTTTTTGTAGCAACTTTAGGGCTGTTATTTGGGCATTTAAGTTCAAGTTAGCTGAGCTACATAGATCAAGATATGGATATAATTCTCACTTTAAATTGAATTGTTGTACAAATCTGTATCAGATGTTGTCAGTGTGTGTGAAATGTGGATACAATTAATCATAGTTCCTTAGTTTAAGAACTAAGAATGTGGGTTTAGAGTTCCAGGTAATTGACCAAAAATATAGCCTTCATTCCTGATAATGAGCTCAAAGAATTAGGAAATGAAATAGAAAAACTCTTGAGACATGACTTCCAGTAAAAACCCATAGTCATGCGGTGGAGGCAGTCACGGAGGGGGCTGTATTGTGAAATTCAACAAGCGGGGAGTGTGACTGAAACCTGTCTTGAGAATCTGCCAGTCGATATTCTCACTCAAAACAAACTAGAGAGCCAAGCCTAGTCTAGCGCCTAAGTCCTGTTCAGCAGAGACAGAACGTCTTGAAACAGAGTGAAACGCAGAGGTCATACCTGAACTTGTCCAATAGTGGTTTTGTGTTGCTTTGCAAATTGTTTTGCTGCAGGATCTGGTTCCCTGCCACATGACACATAGTAAACAGATCAAACAGGGTTTGTGCATTAGACCACAATACAAGTGTCATGTGCCATGGTGATGTTTGGTCTGGCTTGGGGAATGCTTGGCTGTACTAATTTTCCTCATTAGTGTTCATAGTGGTCACAGTGGTCATCATGTCACACGCAAGGAGCCTAGATGAATCCATTGACTACACTTGTCTGGTGCCTGGACTTGTTCTGATGCATGTCGTCTAGCCTAGTTCTATGAGCCTGTGTGAGCGAGAAGGATACGTATGTTTACAGTTTTGTGTTGAGTTTCAAGAGATTAGGCCTAATCTAAGACAACTCATACTGTTTGCTAACTGCAGAGAAGCGAGTGCCAGGGAAAAATAGGTGCTATGGTAATCAATCAGAATCCTGATAATCTTTGATCATCATGAAGAAATCATGGTTGAATATCTGCAGTTTTATTGGACAGCTTGTTGCTGTCTCATTCTTTATTTTGGCCTATCGGTGTGTGTGAGACAGTGAGCGAGAGAACAAGCATTCGCAAGCTACACCAGCTTGGTCCCCTTCAAACTTTTAATTGGTTTCTTTTGTGTTTGTATATAATTTACTACAGTCTGTCACAGTCTATGACATATCCTTTCAGGACTACAACCACAGACTAGTCTTTGACCCTTCAAACACTCACTTACTGTTAGGAATCGGAGTAAATTTACTGCAAGTTGCAGTAAAGAAGGCGAACAATGCAGATGTGGAAAAGGTATGTCCAAAAGGGCATTTTCACTGCTCTGGTGTGTGTGTTTGTGAGCTGCATTTCAGCTGACTAGTCTATCAAGGCCAGATGAAGGACGTACTAAATCACCTGGAGCTGAATGAATGTGTTTGTGCAGCACCAACTTAACCTCCCGAGGAACGAACACACACACACAGAGCTATGTCTTACTATACTTGTGAAGCCTTTTTGGGACCGCCAAAATGTCCTCACAATTTTAGTTGGTTTACTATTCTTGTGAGGACTTCTGGTACTCACAAGTATAGTAAAATGTATACACACACACACACAAAGCTCACCTCAAGCCTCACTTCACGGTTGTTTCTCACATTTTACCCCAAAAGAATGTGCCAGGCACTCACTAATGTTTTGCTGGCTGGCTACTCTTCAGCTGGCAACAGCATTGAGACATTCAGCATGATCTGCCATGTTAACCCACTTATCATTCAGCCTTGTGAAGAAGGACTCTAGTCTCTGTCAAGGAGGCTACTTCAGAGATTCCACAGAGCAGAGCATCCCTTTACATAACATAGCCTAGCACAGACTACACTATGGGGAGATAAACAACTAGCCTATAACACACTGATATCAGGGCCTGTCGCAGCTAGTTGGCCGTCATTCAGTGTATATAAAAACATTTGCTAATGTGTGGCATGACTGTCACAGAGCACAGTGGTGCGATTGTTCTGCATCCAGCAAAAAATACACACTTGAAAATTGCAAATGTAACGTTTGCACTGAATGCGAGTTCTGCAGCAGGCAGATGATGTCATCGTCGGTTCAGCTCCGCTCCAACGGTGACACTCTTTCAGCAGTGGTTCATTCTGCTCTCTTGAATAATGAAGGAGACCATGATGGGAGAGATGTAAATACTCACCCTATTTCACTGGGGGTTTTCTTTGCTTGTTGTTGTTTAGGAAACAGATTGACGTAGTAGCACCAAGGTCGTGTTTAGTAGGGCACAAAACCATTTTTGGGAACCAGAAAAGCGTCTCCTGGATTACATGTTTGCCAATGAAAAATAATTTTCAGGAGAGTCCAGATTGATGTGACTGAATGCCTAGTCGATATTGTGCTTTTAAGTTTGGACTGATGGAATCAGCATTGACCAGTCTCCTTCAGACACTCGGCCTTGGCTTTTGTAAGGCATGATTTGCGTACTTCCTTTTCCATTCCGATGGAGTTTTGCAACTATTAATCTAGCTTCGTCCAGATAGTGCAAAAGGAGCATGAGCCGTGAGCTACGGACAGATACATTTACTGTTCCTCTCTGGTGAGTGTCAAGGTTTGGCAGAGTAAAAAAAAAAGAGAGAAGTCTGCGTTCTTCCTGACTTGGTGTTGAATAATTTGGGGCTTGTCAGATGCTACCAGAGCTTACGTCAATGCACTAGTGCAAAGGAATCTGTAGTGTTAGAATCCCTGGCACTTGCATAGTGAAGACTGCTGGTTGCCTTTGTGTGACCACCCGTCCTAATACCCCAGTGACCAACATGCTTCCTAAGAGACCGATGTACTGGGTCACTTCTTTCTCAGCCACTTTCTATCCTCTAACTATCATACTAGCAAACTCAACATCTGGAATCTTGACTATCTATGCTAAAAACCATTTGGCAGAGCTAAACCGGACTCTTTATTGCTATTATCAAAGTTAGGCACATTTTCGGGCCCAACATTTACTTGAAGGCCTCAATGGCAGCAGTACTATCACAGAGTTTCTTAACCTAGAGGTGCAACATCGCAAGACTTCCGGGAACGAAAACGACTTTATATCGAAGGAGTGCCTTTGATTTGACGGCCTGCACATGCGCAGTTATGCGCGAGACGACCGTTAGACCCAATGAAGTGTTTCTACGCATGAGCTAAGTGTGATCAGGGATTTCTATTGGAGAAGCAGTTTTAGCCTATCTTCATGCTGTACTGTCTTTGGTAATAACGTCAATCACTTGCAAGACCACAAGCAATAGGAGATGTCATTGTGCTCAAGGTAGCCCAAAATATCTAGACACAATGATTAGACCTATTATTCATTTTATCACAAATCTAAAAAGAATGCAGTTACAGTCCCATCTACTCTAAAAGCTGTTTTATGAGATATAGCTAATGGTAGCCAGACCTTTTGGGACCCAACGGACAACAGTGAGCTTGTGAGGCCCTAACCCCAAGCATAGTACAATGCTTCATGTAACTGGAGACGGTTTGAGTGATGCTCATGCCATTAACTGATGTTAATGGCCAATTTTTGTTATCGTGCTCAGTAGATTGTGTCTCATGCTGCCATTTGCAGCAATTTGCCAGTGCCATCACTCTCCTGATTCAGCTGTGTCAGAAGGACCACACCGGCACCCCTTAACATGCTCTGCGGGCAATGAGGCTTAAAAGGCTCTGAGATTTACTGCAGTGTCATCTCAGCCTTGAATACAGCCTTGCCTTTTACTCAGCTGACCTCCTGGGACATGTTCAGTAGGGCCCACCATAGCGAAATGTTTTAAAACCTTCTGAATGAGCGTTTCGTATTAGACAAGTCCAGTTAGAAGTGTTCTACAATTTTTCTCAGGCTATGAGAATGTTATTACATGGAATGATCTACCTTATTACAATGTTCATGCTGAAATCATGCTAATATACACAACAAACTCTTGTAAGCTATTTTGTAGCAATTTGCAGCAGAAATCATATTCCATTACTAAGTCTACAAGCCATAGTACCAATAGTTGGTGTAAAGTTACCACTGAAAGAAGATGAACGTCTGTTTATCATTTATACAGAAATTACGGTCTTTTCAAAGTCCAAGTCGGTAGAAATACTGTAGTAAATGGAGAAAACTAAGCTTTTTAAAGACCCACAGCCCCCTGCAGAATGATACATTAAGAATGAGAGAGAGGAGCACTCAGATGAGAGGCAACAGCAGTGGGAATTAAAATGACATACTTTTTGGGGATTCACACTTCACAGATCTTATTGTCAGAGCTGCACCAATGGAGCATTAGCGTTTGTTTGAGCGGTGCCTTCTGCTGTTACACTACTACATCTACCACAAGCACTTAGTAGCAGCATTGTGTTGTTTCAATGGACACAGTGAAGGCCTCTGAAAGTGGGCGATGTGAGCTAAAGCTGGTCACTGTTTGTTGTCACACACACACACACACACCGAGAGGGAGAGGAGCCTTTAGCCAGGTGCTCCTCGCAAGGTCGTAACAATAAGACCACAAAGTCCGTCGCCGTAGTAACGTGCATCAGTGAGCTTAACTGGATAAAAGAATGAATAAAGAAATGCCAGACACAGCCAGGCAAGGTACAGCAACCTTTCACAGAGGGATTTCTACCAGCTAAGCAGATGCCGCGAACCCAGCAAAATCATTACAATGTCTAGCTGATAATAGCATTTCATAACTAATTTGATAGGTTCCAAGGACGTTTATCGGAGATAAAAGCGACTGTAATTTATCAGATGTATGCATAATTCACTGGACTCGTGTTGAGCTGCATTTTGATCAAACAGAACAAGAATACAACAGGTCAGTTGAGAGACTGTTCTTTTCTTTGCAGGCCAACCTGAACGATTCCCATAACCAGATGGTGGTGCACTGGGCCGGGGAGAAGAGCAATGTCATTGTGGCGTTGGCCAGAGACAGTGTCGGAGCCACAGGTCCCAAGACTAGCTCGGTGAGTACACAGTAGTACATTTCCTGTGAGTACAGGAGTACACTTCCTGCGAGTACAGTAGTACACATCCTGTAAGTACAGTAGTACACTTCCTCTGTGTACCGGAATACACTTCCTCTGTGCACCGGAATACACTTCCTCTGTGTACCGGAATACATTTCCTCTGCGCACCAGAATACACTTCCTCTGTGTACCGTAATACACTTCCTCTGTGTACCGTAATACACTTCCTCTGTGTACCGGAATACACTTCCTCTGTGTACCAGAATACACTTCCTGTGACTACAGTAGTACACTTCCTGCGAGTACAATAGCCTACATTTCCTGTAAGTACATTAACACACCTTGTGTGTGGGAGGGGGATCCACAGTCGCATGAAAAAGAACATATCCATGAACCTATCCACAACTACATAGCCTAACGCCTGCGTGTTGCTTTACAGCCATGCTGTTTTTAGCCACTTTGAATCTTCTCCTTCCCTCTCAATTCACGTTGCCCTCTTTTCAGATAACACCCATTTGATTCTGCTCTCCTGACTGTTTTACTTTGGACTGTACATTTCAGCTGTCTTTTTCCCCTTCAAATTTAGACTCCTTTGTTCGAGGTACCATGGCAGAAATGATAATACTGGGTTAACCACAGTTTGGTTGTGTAATGTTGTCTTTGTGTATCCGTGTGTGTGTGCGTGCGTGCACGCATGCATGTGTGTGTGTGTGCGTGTGCATGGGCGCCCATTGGTCAGTGACAGTGACAGGCCACATGTTGTCAGTGCTGCGAGGCCCAGACCTGTTCCACTGTGCTAATGAGATGGCGCAATGGCCTCGCCTGCCTGCCTGCCAGCCAGCTGTGTGCTTCCTCTCCACTCACAGATCAGATTCACTGAGCCATGGATTAATCCCTCCATCTGTTACATCTCTCTCTCTCTACTCTCTCTGCTTTTGATTATATCAGCTCCCTATCCTGTCTGATACTCACGCTCAGCTTACAGTAACCCACGCTACCCCCACTGCTTTTGTTCACACTGTAAGAAGGACCTCCCGTGCTCCTCAAGGGGTTAACTTAAGATGTGATGCCATTTGAAAAACAAGTGGTTTATACTAAACCGCAGAGATCCCACTGGTGAAGGACAGTTTGTTTGTACAACAATTGTTAGTTTTGTGTCTCTCCACAACTTCCAGCCAGCGTTGTGGGTTCAGTGGGCTTTGTGTGCTGTTCTCTGTGGTCTGAGCTCCTTGGTGTCTGGCACTCTGACGGGAATCTGAGAGCTTTGACCTGACTCATGTATTGTCTCTGGTAGAATCTGCAGGACAGGAGGGATCAGAACAGAACAGCATTGAACACTAAACACCTCTTAACATTCTGGATTGGAGTTCTCTCTTAAAGGAGCTACAGTTCCACTCTGTAGTCACTTAACATGGACAAAGCTTTTCCCCAAGTATTGTGTTTCTCTCCGTAGATGGAAAGTCCGTAGATGGAAAGTCTAAAGTCTAGCTACTGCCTAAAATGCTTTGATTCCTTTTACCGAGTCAGTTAATGGCCTCCCTCCCAATACACCCATTCTAAAGTAATTTTTTCCTCTACTAGAAATGTGTCCTTCATCAAAAAGCATTTAAAAAATCAAACTTGACATAGCCTAATTTTGTCCTGTCCAAAAAGCATCACAACAAAAATTACATTGATTGTGGATTTCACTTGTTTACCATGTACCATCACTTCCATGTTCTCACCTCTTTCCTCTCTCCTTTGTCACATGGTAGGTGTACGTGTCTTACGACTATGGAACCAGCTTCTCCCCCATCTCAGAGAGGTTTCAGCTGAGTGGGGAGAAGGAGAAAGAGGGGAGCAAGCAGGTCATCTCCCAGTTCTACCACAGCCACGCTGACAATAAGAGGGTAAGTGGCTGAAGACCATAGAGGTACGTACACTGAGTGTACAAAGCATTAGGAACACATTCCTAATATTGAGTTGCATCCTCTTTTGCCCTCAGAACAGCCTGAATTTGTCTGGGGATGGACTCTACAAGGTGTTGAAAGCATTCCACAGGGATGCTGGCCCGTGTTGTCTCCAAAAACCCAGCAGCGTTGCAGTTTTTGACTCACTCAAACCGGTGCGCCTGGCACCTACTACCATACCCTGTTTAAAGGCCCTTAAATATTTAGTCTTGAACATTCACCCTCTGAATGGCACACATACAATCCATGTCTCAATTGTCTCAAGGCCTAAAAATCCATCTTTAACCTGTCCTCCCCTTCATCTACACTGATGGAAGTGGATTTAACAGGTGACATCAATAAGGGATCTTAGCTTTCACCTGGATTCACCTGGTCAGTCTATGTCATGGAAAGGGCAGGTGTTCCTAATGTTTTGTACACTCATTGTACAGGATGATAATAATACATACTGTATTTAGGCCTATCTCTATATTGAAGACTGCCCTGATACAGAGGGGTTTTATTATGTTTTGAAAGTGTATAGCTTTGAGTGTATAGCTCTTTTTCGTATGTTCTCCCATCTCCACACAACCCCCGTGTAGCTCAGTTGGTATAGCATGGCGCTTGCATCGCCAGGGTTGTGGGTTCGATTCCCACGGGGGCCAGTATGAAGAGAAAGAAAATGTATGCACTCACTAACTGTAAGTCGCTCTGGATAAGAGCGTCTGCTAAATGACTAAAATGTAAAATGGAAGGCACATAACGTTATTGAGCTTGGGGTTTATAAGGGTTGATTTAGGTGTATAGTGTCTGTGGGTGTGTGTGTGTGTGTGTGTGTGTAGTGATCAGTCATGAGCTCAAGATTGTTCGATGCAGTGCCGTGAGGTTTGGTGCGGTGCCGTGTTCGATTATGTCTCACTGTGTGCCGGTGAGTCATAGTCCTGGCCCCGCCCCCCAGCCGTTCCCCCTGGCACTCAGCCCAGTGGAGGTTATTGCCAGGTGTAAGGGTGCATGGGAAACGCAGTTTGTTCCGTTAGCAGGCAGGAGGGCACGCACGCACGCTGCTGTGAGCCCTGCAGCAGCGTGCGTCTCTGCAGAGGCTGCAGGCTGGGGCCATCCGTCTGCAGACAGGTGTGCTCCAGAGAGAGAGGCAGGGCTGCCTGGTATAACCGCAGATAACAGCAGGAGGATTTCACCCTCTTAGTCTGCAACATTCTCCCAACATCATGGAGATTATTACGATGGGAAATTAGTGGTTTCTTCTCATCTGCACACTGAGCTGTGAGTTTTCTAGGATCAGTTCCTCTCTGTCCATAATAATCGGATTCATTATGATTTAAAAGACAAAACTGATCCTAAATCTCCTTCACAAGACGCTTGATAAATATGGGCCCAGAGCAGCAGGTCTAGCCTCCCCTTGTAGAAGCATTTGAAGCATATGATGAAGTGTCTGAGAGATAAATTGCAGTGATCACTTTAGGTAATGATTTATGAATTAAGGGGGATCAGAGATAATGAATGGTTAGCCCATAGCATAACCCACTGACTAACCTTACATTTAGGGCCTACAGTGCATTTGGAAAGTATTCAGACCCCTCAACTTTTTCCACATTTTGTTACGTTACAGCCTTATTCTAAAATTGATTTTTCCTCATCAATTTACACACAATACCCCATAATAGCAAAGCAAAAACAGGTTTTTAGAAATGTTTGCTAATTAATTTTTTCAAAATCAAAACAATATCACAGTTACATAAGTATTCAGGCCCTTTACTTAGTACTTTGTTGAAGCACCTTTGGCAGCGATTACAGCATCGAGTCTTCTTGGGTATGACGTTACAAGTTTGGCACACCTGTATTTGGGGAGTTTCTCCTATTCTTCTCTGCAGATCCTCTCAAGCTCTGTCAGATTGGATGGGGAGCGTTGCTGCACAGCTATTTTCAAGTCCGGGCTCAGGCTGGGCCACTCAAGGACATTCAGAGACTTGTCCCGAAGCCACTCCTGCGTTGTCTTGCTTGTGTGCTTAGGGTCATTGTCCTGTTGAAAGGTGAACCTTCGCCCCCAGTCTGAGGTCCTGAGCACTCTGGAGCAGGTTTTCATCAAGGATCTCTCTGTACTTTGCTCCATTAATCTTTTTCTCGATCCTGACTAGTCTCCCAGTCCCTGCCGCAGAAAAACTGAGGAGTGGCTTCCGTCTGGCCACTCTACCATAAAGGCCTGATTGGTGGAGTGCTGCAGAGATGGTTGTCCTTCTGGAAGGTTCTCCCATCTCCACAGAGGAACTCTGGAGCTCTGTCAGAGTGACCATCGGGTTCTTGGTCACCTCCCTGACCAAGGCCCTTCTCCCCCTATAGCTCAGTTTGGCCGGGCGGCCAGCTCTAGGAAGAGTCTTGGTGGTTCCAAACTACTTCCATTTAAGAATGATAGAGGCCACTGTGTTCTTGGGGACCTTGAATGCTGCAGAAATGTTTTGGTAGCCTTCCCAGATCTGTGCCTCGACACAATCCTGTCTTGGAGCTCTACGGACAATTCCTTTGACCTCATGGCTTGGTTTTTGCTCTGACATGCACTGTCAACTGTGGGACCTTATATAGACAGGTGTGTGCCTTTCCAAATCATGTCCAATCAATGGAATTTACCACAGGTGGACTCCAATCAAGTTGTAGAAAAATCTCAAGGATGATCAATGGAAACAGGATGCACTTGAGCTCAATTTCGAGTCTCATAGCAAAGGGTCTGAATACTTATTTAAATAAGGTATTTCTGTTTATAATTTTTTGAATACATTTGCATAAATGTCTAAAAATCTGTTTTTTCTTTGTCATTATGGGGTATTGTGTGTAGATTGCTGAAGATTATTATTTTTTAAATCCATTTTAGAATAAGGCTGTAACGTAACAAATTGTGGAAAAAGTCAAGGGGTCTGAGTACTTTCTGAAGGCACTGTATGCTTATACTCCAAGTCCTTTGTACTTGGGTCTGACTGGTTATGGATCTGCCTATTTATAACATCTTCTTAAAAGAAAGATTCACCCATTTTTAATGTTATATAATAGTTGTGCATCTCCGAGCGATGTTCTATCTATTCCCAGTGTAATTGAATGTTTTCAAGTATTCAGACCCCTGAGTCAATACATGTTAGAATCACCTTTGGCAGCGATTACAGCTTTGAGTCTTTTGGGGTAAGTCTCTTAAGAGCTTTGCACACCTGGATTGTTCAATATTTGCACATTATTCTTTTAAAAATTCTTCAAGCTCTGTCAAGTTGGTTGTTGATCATTGCTAGACAGCCATTTTCAAGTCTAGCCATATATTTTCAAGCCAATTTAAGTCAAAACCGTAACACGGGAACATTCAATGTCGTCTTGGTAAGCAACTCCAGTGTATATTTGGCCTTTTGTTTCAATCTACCAATAGGTGCCCTACTTTGGGAGGCATTGGAAAACCTCGCTGGTCTTTTTGTTTGAATCTGAGTTTGAAATTCACTGCTCGTCTGAGTGACCTTACAATTATCTGTATGTGTGGGATACAGAGATGAGGTAGTCAGTCAAAAATCATGTTATTGCACACAGAGTGTGTCCATGCAACTTATTATGACTTGGTAAGCACATTTTTACTCCTGAACTTTTTTAGGCTTGCAATAACAAAGGATTGAATACTTATATATACAGTGGGGAAAAAAAGTATTTAGTCAGCCACCAATTGTGCAAGTTCTCCCACTTAAAAAGATGAGAGAGGCCTGTAATTTTCATCATAGGTACATGTCAACTATGACAGACAAATTGAGAAAAAAAATCCAGAAAATCACATTGTAGGATTTTTTATGAATTTATTTGCAAATTATGGTGGAAAATTAGTATTTGGTCACCTACAAACAAGTAAGATTTCTGGCTCTCACAGACCTGTAACTTCTTCTTTAAGAGGCTCCTCTGTCCTCCACTCGTTACCTGTATTAATGGCACCTGTTTGAACTTGTTATCAGTATAAAAGACACCTGTCCACAACCTCAAACAGTCACACTCCAAACTCCACTATGGCCAAGACCAAAGAGCTGTCAAAGGACACCAGAAACAAAATTGTAGACCTGCACCAGGCTGGGAAGACTGAATCTGCAATAGGTAAGCAGCTTGGTTTGAAGAAATCAACTGTGGGAGCAATTATTAGGAAATGGAAGACATACAAGACCACTGATAATCTCCCTCGATCTGGGGCTCCACGCAAGATCTCACCCCGTGGGGTCAAAATGATCACAAGAACGGTGAGCAAAAATCCCAGAACCACACGGGGGGACCTAGTGAATGACCTGCAGAGAGCTGGGACCAAAGTAACAAAGCCTACCATCAGTAACACACTACGCCGCCTGCAGTGCCAGACGTGTCCCCCTGCTTAAGCCAGTACATGTCCAGGCCCGTCTGAAGTTTGCTAGAGTGCATTTGGATGATCCAGAAGAGGATTGGGAGAATGTCATATGGTCAGATGAAACCAAAATAAAACTTTTTGGTAAAAACTCAACTCGTCGTGTTTGGAGGACAAAGAATGCTGAGTTGCATCCAAAGAACATCATACCTACTGTGAAGCATGGGGGTGGAAACATCATGCTTTGGGGCTGTTTTTCTGCAAAGGGACCAGGACGACTGATCCGTGTAAAGGAAAGAATGAATGGGGCCATGTATCGTGAGATTTTGAGTGAAAACCTCCTTCCATCAGCAAGGGCATTGAAGATGAAACGTGGCTGGGTCTTTCAGCATGACAATGATCCCAAACACACCGCCCGGGCAACGAAGGAGTGGCTTCGTAAGAAGCATTTCAAGGTCCTGGAGTGGCCTAGCCAGTCTCCAGATCTCAACCCCATAGAAAATCTTTGGAGGGAGTTGAAAGTCAGTGTTGCCCAGCGACAGCCCCAAAACATCACTGCTCTAGAGGAGATCTGCATGGAGGAATGGGCCAAAATACCAGCAACAGTGTGTGAAAACCTTGTGAAGACTTACAGAAAACGTTTGACCTGTGTCATTGCCAACAAAGGGTATATAACAAAGTATTGAGAAACTTTTGTTATTGACCAAATACTTATTTTCCACAATAATTTGCAAATAAATTCATTAAAAATCCTACAATGTGATTGTCTGGATTTTTTTCCCTCATTTTGTCTGTCATAGTTGACGTGTACCTATGATGAAAATTACAGGCCTCTCTCATCTTTTTAAGTGGGAGAACTTGCACAATTGGTGGCTGACTAAATACTTTTTTCCCCCACTGTATACTACCAGTCAAAAGTTTGGACAAAGTTTGTTTTTTCAGGTTTTTTCATTCTGGAATAATAGTGAAGACATCAGAACTATGATATTTACATTTGACATTTTAGTCATTTAGCAGACGCTCTTATCCAGAGCAGTTAGTGAGTGCATACATTTATTTTTTATTTTTCATACTGGCCCCCCGTGGGAATCGAACCCATAACCTTGCCGTTGCAAACGCCATGCTCTACCAACTGAGCTACATCCCTTCCGGCCATTCCCTCCCCTACCCTGGACGACACTGGGCCAATTGTGCGCTGCCCCATGGGTCTCCTGGTCGCGGCCGGCTACGACAGAGCCTGGATTTGAACCAGGATCTCTAGTGGCACAGCTAGCACTGCGATGCAGTGCCTTAGACCACTGCGCCACTCCATATGATATAACACATATGGAATCATGTAATACCCTAAAAAGTGTTGAACTAATCAAAATATAGTTTATATTTGAGATTCTTCAAATAGCCACCCTTTTCCTTGATGACAGCTTTGCACACTCTTGGCATTCTCTCAACCAGCTTCATGAGGTAGTCACATGGAATGCATTTCAATTAACAGGTGTGCCTTGTCAAAAGTTAATTTGTGGAATGTCTTTCCTTAATGCATTTGAGCCAATCAGTTGTGACAAGGTAGGGGGGGTATACATAAGATAGCCCTATTTGGTATAAGACCAAGTCCATATTATGGCAAGAACAGCTCAAATAAGCAAAGAGAAACGACAGTCCATCATTACTTTAAGACATGAAGGTCATTCAATACGGAACATTTCAAGAACTTTGAAAGTTTATTCAAGTGCAGTCGCATAAACCATCAAGCGCTATGATGAAACTGGCTCTCATGAGGACCGCCACAGGAATGGAAGACCCAGAGTTACCTCTCAAGTTCATTAGATTTATCAGCCTCAGAAATTGCAGCCCAAATAAATGCTTCACAGAGTTCAAGTAACAGACACATCTCAACATCAACTGTTCAGAGGGGACTGTGTGAATCAGGCCTTCATGGTTGAATTGCTGCTAAGAAACCACTACTAAAGGACACCAATAAGAAGAAGAAGAGACCTGATTGGGCCAAGAAACACGAGCAATGGACATTAGACCGGTGGAAATTTGTCCTTTGGTCTGTAGTCCAAATTGGAGATTTTTGGTTCCAACCTCCGTGTCTTTGTGAGACGCGGTGTGGGTGAACGGATGATCTCTGCATGTGTGGTTCCCACCGTAAAGAATGGAGGAGGAGGTGTTATGGTGTGGGGGTGCTTTGCTGGTGACACTGTCTGTGATTTATTTAGAATTCAAGGCACACTTAACCAGCATGGCTACCACCGCATGCTGCAGTGATATGCCATCCCATCTGGTTTGGGCTTAGTGGGACTATCATTTGTTTTTCAACAGGACAATGACCCAACACACCTCCAGGTTGTGTAAGGGCTATTTTACCAAGAAGCAGAGTGATGGAGTGCTGCATCAGATGATCTGGCCTCCACAATACCCTAAGTTTAACCCAATTGACATGGTTTGGGATGAGTCGGACGGCAGAGTGAAGGAAAAGCAGCCAACAAGTGCTCAGCATATGTGGGAACTCCTTCAAGTCTGTTGGAAAAGCATTCCAGGTGAAGCTGGTTGAGAGAATGCCAAGAGTGTGCAAAGCTGTCATCAAGGCAAAGGGTGGCTATTTGAAGAATCTCAAATATAAAATATATTTTGATTTGTGTAACACTTTTTTGGTTACTACATGATTCCATATGTATTATTTCATAGTTTTGATGTCTTTTCTATTATTCTACAATGTAGAAAATAGTAAAAATAAAGAAAAACCCTTGAATGAGTAGGTGTGTCCAAACTTTTGACTGGTACTGTGTGTGTGTGTGTGTGTATATATATATGTGTGTGTGTGTATAGATGTTTTATTAATTTGTAAAAAATGTAAATCAACTTTGACATTTATGCTCTATTGTGTGTAGGCCAGTGACACAACATCTCAATTTAATGAATTTGAAATTCAGGCTGTAACACAACAAAATGTGGAAAAAGTCAAGAGGTGTGATCTCTAGTGGTCCTCTGTAGCTCAATTGGTAGAGCATGGCGCTTGTAACGCCAGGGTAGTGCGTTCGATCCCCGGGACCACCCATACATAAAAATGTATGCGCACATGACTGTAAGTCGCTTTGGATAAAAGCGTCTGCTAAATGGCATATTATTTTATTTATTTATTTATCTCCCGTGATCTCCCGAGTGGTGCAGTGGTCTAAGGCACTGGCAGTGCTAGCTGTGCCACTAGATATCCTGGTTCGAATCCAGGCTCTGTCGTAGCCGGCCGCGACCGGGAGACCCATGGTGCGGCGCACAATTGGCCCAGCATCGTCCAGGGTAGGGGAGTGAATGGTCGGCAGGGATGTAGCTCAGTTGGTAGAGCATGGCGTTTGCCATGCCAGGGTTGTGGGTTTGATTCACAGGGGGTATGAAAAAAAAAATACAAAGAATAATGTATGCACTCACTAACTGTAAGTCGCTCTGGATAAGAGCGTCTGCTAAATGACTAAAATGTAAATGTGTGAATACTTCCTGAAGGCACTTTATATCGTGATGTAATAGTGGAGTAAGTCCCTGAAGTTTCTCACTGTGATGTGCTGTACATGTGGGACCTGCTATGTCCTAGTCCTGACTCATCTACAGTATGAGAGATGTGCTGTACATGTGGGACCTGCTATGTCCTAGTCCTGACTCATCTACAGTATGAGAGATGTGCTGTACATGTGGGACCTGCTATGTCCTAGTCCTGACTCATCTACAGTATGAGAGATGTGCTGTACATGTGGGACCTGCTATGTCCTAGTCCTGACTCATCTACAGTATGAGAGATGTGCTGTACATGTGGGACCTGCTATGTCCTAGTCCTGACTCATCTACAGTATGAGAGATGTGCTGTACATGTGGGACCTGCTATGTCCTAGTCCTGACTCATCTACAGTATGAGAGATGTGCTGTACATGTGGGACCTGCTATGTCCTAGTCCTGACTCATCTACTGTATGAGAGATGTGCTGTACATGTGGGACCTGCTATGTCCTAGTCCTGACTCATCTACTGTATGAGAGATGTGCTGTACATGTGGGACCTGCTATGTCCTAGTCCTGACTCATCTACTGTATGAGAGATGTGCTGTACATGTGGGACCTGCTATGTCCTAGTCCTGACTCATCTACTGTATGAGAGATGTGCTGTACATGTGGGACCTGCTATGTCCTAGTCCTGACTCATCTACAGTATGAGATACCATTTCAGCTTTTGATCGTCATCTCATTGCATCTATCTATTTCACTACCTCCAGCTCGCTGCCTTGCGCTACAGAGCTTTTGTTCTCACAGGGGCTCTGTCCCGTTTCCAAATGGAGGCCGTTGAGAATAGAGGAGTTATTGGGAAGGCAGTTAAAAAATAGATCAAAGGAAGGAGCGACAAGATGGGATTATAGCTCTGTATAATTGCATAATCAGACTATCTAATTAGGCATTTCAAATTAAATATCTCTGAATATGTCTGTGATTTTTTTGGGGGGGAGTGGGGGTGTTTGGAAACGGTATTTTGAAGTAGCTAGACTAGAGATATCTGGAGTTGAGATATTAGGCAAGTTCTTACTATTCTAGTTTGTTGAAATCAGTCAGGCTTGACATTTTACCACGTCAGAGGTTTGTTCAGTTCAGAAAGTTGCAGGTACAAATAGAAATGTTATGTATAGAGCAAGAATGATTCCCTGTTCTACACAATATATTTCTAGCTTCACATTCCGTAACACTCATGAACAGACCCCAGTGGGTATTTAGCCTAACCTTGGCCTGTCTTGTCCATCTCTTGTTCCAGTACCTCTTTGCAGACAGCACCAACAGCTACCTCTGGAACTCCTTTGACTTCTGCAAGACCATCCAGGGGTTCTCCATCCCCTTCAAGCCCACAGATCTGCTGCTGCACAGCAAGAAAGCCAACCTGGTCCTGGGCTATGATGGCTCCCACCCCAACAAACAGGTACTCAACTGACTGCTATAGAAATGCTGCTTCACTGTCTTGAAAAAGGTCTCGGACAGAAACGTAGACCATTTAACAACATGCAGAGGTAAGCATGGTTAGAAATGTTTTACCAGGAAGTCCCTTTAGATCAACAATATTTTTATGATGGAGATCTTTGTGCAGGAGGTGTCTATTATAATGAACAGCGTTATAGTACTGTAAGACATACACAGGCTCCTCCTTTGCCAGTAGCTCTGTGGCCACCATTTTGGTTCGGGTTTAGATGCCTATGTGGACAAATGGCTCTACTCGATATGCTGGATTACCATACCATAGCCCCACAGCATTTGGTTTATAATACAGTGTGACTGTTCTAGAGAAACAATATTTCTGAATGTAGGACAGTTGCATAATTACAAATAGAACGGTGCAAATACAAATACTGGTTAAATGTCACAGCTGCATATACTAAACTGTCTCTCTGAAAAACACAATATGGAGGACATTTTGTGGAATTCTTCCCTAACTAATTATTCACATTTCAGCTCATCTGAAACGATGGAAAACGGTTGACTCTCAAACATTCTGCCAGTTATATGCAGCCAGGAGTCAACATGTGCAAATGAGCCCCTGACCTACATTTACTCCCCATCCCCCGCCTCTGTTATTTTTGCAGCTATGGAAATCTGACGATTTTGGAGAGACATGGGTGTTGATCCAAGAGCACGTGAAGGCCTATTTCTGGTAAGATCAATGCCTCTGTATACAAAAGTGATGATTGTGTGAGGAGAGGCAGAACGTACAGTCATCAGTATAACTAATTGTCGCTGTTGAATGCCAGACTGTCTGCAAAACATTCAAGCATCGGTCTGTGAGAGGGATGGGTGGGATGTGTTTGTGTGTGTGTGTGTGTGTGTGTCTTGTTTACTTCCTGTTTTTCTGTGTGTTCTGTGACTGCCTGCCTCCTCCATCATCTGGCCCTCACTAGACCTCAAAGTGAAGAGATTTGCCAGATAAACATCTCATTCATGTCTTCCGATCGCTGTATGCTTACCAAGCAAACAGCTCGCGAGCTTAACTCCCTGCCTCTCCAAGTTAAATACATAGATTAGATTGGCCCTTGTAATTGAATGACAATGCAAAGAAAATGCCACTACGATCCCTGAGGGAGAGAGACACTGATTACCTGATTGTTATTTGGGGCTCACTATGTGTGAATGGCTTGATGACTCTACCGCCTAAATTATTTTGAACCCTGCTATCAACCAGATCTCTGTTCAAATAGTGTTTGAAATCTTTCAAATACTTTGAACGTATGCTTGAGCTTGCCTGGCGTGCCAGATGGGCAGAGTTTGCACAGAAAAAGTCAATCAAGCACATCACAAATAACAAACTTGCCAAAAACAATCTAATAACAATGATGATTGCGACACGTTCAGTGCCTTGTGAAAGAGATCAGCCATGTGTCTCTCACCACATAAAGTAGGCCTAGGCAGGAGAGTGGCACACTCAATTTTAAAAAAAAAACGTTCAAATCCCATCCATAAAAGATAAAGCCCTGCTTTGGAAGGATTTGACCGATCTGTCAATGATTTAAAGGCGTGGATGTGGAGGGTTAGCTAGGGTTAGACATCACTTTCATTCCCTCGCAGATCCTCTGCCTTTAGTAGACGACAACAAGAGGCTCTCGTTCTCCACTGCATATATGTAATGCTGCTTGTCAGCTACAGCAGGGGTCTGTTCAGGAGGGTGCAACATTTCAGAACGTTCAGATTGAAATGTATTGTGTAGAACGTATACGCTTGCCTGTCAAGTAGAATTAGGAATTATGTCTGTTCTTTTCAGTGTATTTCTATCTGCATCGTTCTGAACATTTTCACCTTACTGAATTTTCCCTTAGACAGTTGACAATTTGTGCACACATCTTCTGGTGACAGAGAGAGACACAGAGCCCTGCTCTCTTCCCCAGTGAACCCACTCCCAACTAAACACTGATAAACGGCAGACAGTGTTTTCTCGCCCTCCGTTGTGCTCCGACGGTGGCAGCGGTCGTACACGTGGGCGTCTCTGAGGGGAATCGAGCAGACTGGCTTCTTTCTTTCTTATTAATACTGCTGCGGTCTTGCCCCCTGGGCTATTTCCAGTGTTTGGGAGATGACGCCCCTCCCTCCACCAAGTTTGAATGTAGGAGATCCTCTTAGATCACACTTATGAGTCTCAGAGTCTCGGGACGGTTGCAGAGGGAGGATTTTGGCTTGGAATACCCACCCAACCCAAAAACGAACATGAACAAACAATTTCATCCCAAAGCAGTAACTATACGCACAAAGCTTGAAGGTCTTTGCGGACTTCTGAGGAAGAAAGCAGCTCCAGAAGTGTGGACTGATGCACTCCTTCCCACACATTTCAAAGCATTGATTGGTGTAAGCATGGGCTAGAAATAGTTTTTTTCCACCAATATATTTCCTTTTAAATCTGGACACAGCTACTGACTCCACTGATCTTTGTCTGGTGCTTCTTCCTCCTCGGCCTCTATGGCCAGTTTTTCTTCTTAACCATGTGTGTCCAGTCCTTTGCCGATCATGGGCTTTCCACGTCTAATCCGTCTGCAGAGGCCACAGAGAAAAAGGCCTGCGCTGCAGATCAGGCTAAGAAGGCTGTAAGCCCTGGGGTTTTGTCTGGTTCACACCCCGCTGTTGGACGTGTTTAACCAGCAGTTGTCAAAACATCTCGAACCAGCAAATCGTATGTATTTGTTCCCCTCCGTCCAAATCCTTTTATCCTGTTTGGTAGGAGGATTGAGAGGCCGCCTTAAAAAAAAAACAGCCTCCCAACTGTTTATAAAAAGAATAAGGAGGCCCTTGGTTCGCAGTGTAGCTTTAGGCAAGCTTTAACCCACCTCCCTGCCAGCGCTACATGGAAAGGATAACCCAGATAGGCAAAGCCCCAAACTCTGATATAGGCACGGCCCCAAATTCTGCTAGATAGACAGACAAGACCCCAAACTCTGCTACGTGGGCAAGCCCCCAAATTCTGATATGGACAAGGCCTCAAACTCTACTAGATGGACAAGGCCCCACACTTTGATATAGACAAGTCCCAAAAGCAATGCAACAAACTAATTTCGTCAAGGCCTGAAACTCTGGCCCAAACTCTAATATTGGCAGGTTCCCGACTCGGCTGTAGGCAAAGTCCCCAAACTAACGTTAGACAGGCAAGGTCCCAAGTCTGTCTGACGGGGGTCTTTCATATCCTCTCTAAAATATCACACTAGAGGACAGTCAAGACACTAGGCTCTCTCTGTGTAGCTCCATTGTTAGTGAGAACGCTCCGTGTGAATCTGGAATGCATTATGGGAGATGATCAGAAAGTACTGTAAACCTCTTTAAGTTCTGCTGTATGTTACCGTAAGTTCACGGCTTAAAATGGCCACACACAGAACTGCTACTGGAAATGTGGAGTTGGGAAACTATATATACATCAATGTGTGTGTTAAATGGATTCTGAGTTTGGAATGTGTTCACAGGAAAACACGTAGGCCGTTCCACTATACTCGGATTGTCAGTAATCCGTAAAACATTTATCTGTTTTTCAGAGTCTGTCAGTGTGTGTGTGTGTGTGTATGTGTGTAACCATACTTTTATCTCCCTCTGTATGGTATGACTGAGTTGGGCCCTGAGTTTTTCCAGACCATATTATCTGAACGGGAAGAACCCATGGCCCTTAAGTCCTTCCTGTTCAGTTCACATGGTCAACAAAGAAAAACTCCAGGCCCTTGACCATGAGTTTTTCCTGGTCGGGCCACGTGGTCAGAGAGAAAATCTTGACTCTACCTATGTCCCACTGACGGGGACGTTTTCTGCATCTTTCCAGGGGTGTGGAGCCGTACGACTCCCCCACCACGGTGCTGGTCCAGAGGCATGAGCCCCAAGGGGTGTCCAGCATCCTCAGCAGCACCGACTTCTTCCAGAGCGAGCAGAACCGCAGAGTCATCCTGGAGAGAGTGGACAACTTCCAGCTCCGGGACAAGTACATGTTCGCCACCACTTCCACAGTAAGTGACGTTGACCTGCAAGGGAATTATACATGACAGGCATTCTGTTGCTCTTGCAGTGATGAGAATGCTCATGTTATTATGGAGAGGAATGCCCACATTGATTATTTGAATAACACAAATTGGGTGGTCCAGCCCTAACTGTCTTCTAATACAGTGCCTTCAGAAAGTATTCACACCCCAATACTTTTTCCACATTTTGTTGTTAAAACCAGAATTGAATTAAATAGTGCAAAAAAATAAAATGTATGAATGACTACCTCAACTCTGTACCCCACGCATACAATTATCTGTAAGGTCCCTCAGTCGAGCAGGGAATGTCAACCACAGATTCAATAACAAAGACCAGGGAGGTTTTCCAATACCTCGCAACGAAGGGCACCTTTTGGTAGATGGGTAAAAAATAAATAAAAAAGCAGACATTGAATATCCCTTTGAGCATGGTGAAGTTAGTAGTTATACTTTGGTTGATGTAACAATACACCAAGGCACAACAAAGATACAGGCATCCTTCCTAACTCAGTTGCCGGAGAGGAAGGAAACCGCTCAGGGATTTCACCATTACATTTACGTCATTTAGCAGACGCTCTTATCCAGAGTGCATACATAATTTAAAAAAAAATGTCATACTGGAATCAAACCCATAACCCTAGCGTTGCAAACACCATGCTCTACCAACTGAGCTACATCCCTGCCGGCCATTCCCCCCCTACCCGACGCTGGGCCAATTGTGCGCCGCCCCATGGGTCTCCCGGTCGCGGCCGGCTACGACAGAGCCTGGATTCGAACCAGGATCTCTAGTGGCACAGCTAGCATTGCGATGCAGTGCCTTAGACCACTGCGCCACTCGGGAGGAGTGGCTTTAAAATAATTACAGAGTTTAATGGCTGTGATAGGAGAAAACTGAGGATAGATCAACGATATTGTAGTTACTCCACAGTACTAAACTAATTGACAGAGTGAAAAGAAGGAAGCCTGTACAGAATAAAATATTCCAAAACATGCATCCTATTTGCAATAAGGCACTACAGTAAACACATCACTGAGGACCACTCTTCATACACTACATTATCAAAAGAATGTGGACACCTGTTCGTCGAACATCTCATTCCTAAATCATGGGCATTATATGGAGTTGGTCCCCCCTTTGCTTCTATAACAGCCTCCACTCTTCTGGGAAGGCTTTCCACTAGATGTTGGAACATTGCTGCGGGGGGCTTGCTTCCAATCAGCCACAAGAGTATTAGTGAGGTCGGGCACTGATGTTGGGCGATTAGGCCTGGCTCGCAGTCGGCGTTCCAATTCATCCCAAAGGTGTTCTATGGGGTTGAGGTCAGGGCTCTGAGCAGGCCAGTCAAGTTCTTCCACACCGATCTCGACAAACCATTTCTGTATGGACCTCGCTTTGTGCACGGGGGCATAGTCATGCGGAAACAGGAAAGGGCACAGAATCGTCTAGAATGTAATTGTATGCTGTAGCATTAAGATGTCCCTTCACTGGAACTAAGGGCCTAGCCAGAACCATCAAAAACAGCCCCATTATTCCTCCTCCACCACACTTTACAGTTGGCACTGTGTATTGCCAGATGGTGAAGTGTGATTCATCACTCCAGAGAACGTGTTTCCACTGCTCCAGGGTCCAATGGCGGTGAGCTTTACACCACTCCAGCAGACGCTTGGCATTGCGCATGGTGATCTTAGGCTTGTCTGCGGCTGCTCGGCCATGGAAACCCATTTCATGAAGCTCCCGACGAACGGTTATTGTGCTGAAGTTGCTTCCAGAGGCAGTTTGGAATTCGGTAGTGAGTGTTGCAACCGAGGACAGACGATTTTTATGTGCCACATGCTTGTGTGGCATACCACTTTTCGGCTGAGCTGTTGTTGCTCCTAGACGTTTCCACTTCACAATAACAGCACTTACAGTTGACCGGGTCAGCTCTAGCAGGGCAGAAATTTGACTAACTGACTTGTCAGAAAGGTGGCATCCTGTGATGTTGCCATGTTGAAAGTCACTGAGCTCTTCAGTAAGGCCATTTTTTTTATAATGTGCAAATATTGTACAATCCAGGTGTTCAAAGCTCTTAGAGACTTACCCAGAAAGACTCACCGCTGTAATCGCTGCCAAAGGTGATTCAGGGGTGTGAATACTTATGTAAATTAGATATGACCGTATCAAATGTTCAATACATTTGTAAAAATGTCTTACATGTTTTCACTTTGTCTTTATGGCGTATTGTGTGTAGATGGGTGAGAAAAACATATATTAAATCCATTTTGAATTCAGGCTGTAACAACAAAATGTGGAATAAGTTAAGTGGTATGAATACTTTGTGAAGGCACTGTAAGTCATTAGTCAAACCCATCATATTCAAGTGGTAAGTCCACCACATGCATAGAGGGTGAATCGTTCTAAAGGGAGTATCTCTTATGACAATCTTAAGTATTTGGCCTCCAATGACCCCAGCAGTGTCTGGTTGCGATAAAGTCGCACATTGTTTGTCATATGGAAGCCACAGGCACACGACTGCTACATTTTTAAACAGATGGGGACGGTTTGATCCTGGGCTCCTTTCTTGGCTGTGAATCTGTGTCACAAATATCCAGCTTGCTTTGCAATGAAAGAGGGACTTATTCATTCACCCCTCCTTGAAAAGAGGAGTCTCTTTTGCTGTGTAAGGAATGTGGAGAATGGAGAGCCGGGCCATGTCATGTACTGTGGAACACTGGGTTAATGTGGTCTGATACATACTGATCCCATCAAAATTAGGCTGAAATATTTGTTTGTATGTGTCTATTCTAAGCCAAGTACGGGTAATGATTCCTGTCTGTGCAAACTCAGGCCTAGATCTGAATAACCACGCAGACTCACTGCAGTCAACGCTGTGTTGGTAAACAGCCATGGCCAAACACACAGGCGTCCGTATCTGAATCCTGGCGGTATTGCACAATCTCTCACACACACACACACACACACACACACACGACTGCCCTTTGAGTGAGCATGGAATAATGGTAGTGGAAATGGAGGAAGGGAGAGACTGAAAATAGAATTGCGGAGGGCTGGTTGGGGCACTTTCACTATGAGGAAGTGGTGTTTCTATAAACAAACTGAGTGGAGAGGCGAGTTTCTGACAATTTGAGCTACTGCAAAGTTGACGAAATATGCATTTTGAAACCCCTGTAAATATGCACATTGTGCATTGTGAATGTTTTTACGTTGTAACTACCATATCTTTATTCATATCAGTCTCTTGCAAATCAATTGACTTAACATTCACAGCTACATGCATACTTCATAAAGTCATCCCTAATCTTTTTGAGTAAGGGTAGCACACTTTAGCAACACATTTGCATGTAACAGAATGCGCTACTTTGACAATCGCCATTGAGGCGAGCATACTAAGGTGGGTCGCTCAGATTGTCAGAACAGCGACATGGTTTATGTTGTGTCTCGTCTGTTGGGTGACCCAACCAACCTGTTGGCCAACAGCACTCCTGTTGGTCGGGGCCAGAGAGTGCAGCTTGTCAGACATGACTGATCTATGTGCTGTTAATGAAGTTGTGGCTTGGTGTCCCTGGGGTGTCAATAACCACTCATGCACACACTCATCAGGACTCTGTTGCCGAGTGCAGCCATATGCTGCAGTCTCAAGTACACTGTTGCTATTCCCAATGGGCTGATTTGTTCCATAGCCAAAGGATAGTACAGTGTTTTTTTTTATGGCTAGCATTGTATCCCAAGCTATATAATTTCCCACTTCCATTTGTAGAAAGTGATTTTCCCACTTCCATTGTAGATTGTTTTTATAGATGGTAATGAGGCTAAATACAAGAGGCTAAACACAAACTAATGGTTGTACTGTAGTTTATGTTAATCAACAACACCATTCACATGAATCAAAAATAAAAAACAATATGGTAAACTACACTGAATGTACAAAACATTAGGAACACCTTCCTAATATTGAGTTGCACCCCCGTTTGCTTTCAGAACAGCCTCAATTTCGGGGTATGGACTCTACATGTTGTCAAAAGCGTTCCACAGGGATGCTGGCCCATGTTGACCACAATGCTTCCCACAGTTGTGTCAAGTTGGCTGGATTTCCTTTGGGTGTTGGACCATTGTTGATACACACGGGAAACTGTTGAGTGTGAAAAACCGAGCAGAGTTGCAGTGCTTGACACACTCAAACTGGTGCGCCTGGCACCTACTACCATACCCCGTTCAAAGGCACTTAAATCTTTTGTCTTGCCCATTTACCCTCTGAATGGCACACATACACAATCCATGTCTCAATTGTCTCAAGGCTTGAAAATTGTTCTTTAACCTGTCTCCTCCCCTTTATCTACATTGATTGAAGTGGATTTAACAAGGGACATCAATAAGGGTTCATAGACTGACCAGGTGAATCCAGGTGAAAGCTATGTCATGGAAAGAGCAGGTGTTCCTAATGTTTTGTACACTCAGTGAATGTGGTTAAATTAGTCACCAGAGCCTTACATTTAATAAATATAAGGCTATGTTAATTCCTATCTAAGAGCCTCAGTTGTCATATCTTTGCAGCATTAGCTTGAGCGCTCAGTTTATTTTGTTAAACAACTACAGTTGCCCTCTCTGTGACCTCAGTCTGACCCAACCCACAGAGCAGCCCACCCTCCCAGGATACGGTTGAGCAGTGAGCATGTTTTTATTTATTTTTATTTATTTCACCTTTATTTAACCAGGTAAGCCAGTTGAGAACAAGTTCTCATTTACAACTGCGACCTGGCCAAGATAAAGCAAAGCAGTGCGATAAAAACAACAACACAGAGTTACATATGGGGTAAACAAAGCATAGTCAAAAATACAACAGAAAATATATATGCAGTGTGTGCGAATGTAGTAAGTTATGGAGGTAAGGCAATAAATAGGCCATAGTGCAAAATAGTTACAATTTCGTATTAACACTGGAATGATATATGTGCAAAAGATGATGTGCAAATAGAGATACTGGGGTGCAAATTAGCAAAATAAATAACAATATGGGGATGAGGTAGTTGGGTGGGCTAATTTCAGAATGGCTGTGTACAGGTGCAGTGATCGGTAAGCTGCTCTGACGACTGATGCTTAAAGTTAGTGAGGGAGATAAGAGTCTCCAGCTTCAGAGATTTTTGCAATTAGTTCCAGTCGTTGGCAGCAGAGAACTGGAAGGAATGGCGGCCAAAGGAGGTGTTGGCTTTGGGGATGACCAGTGAGATATACCTGCTGGAGCGCAGACTACGGGTGGGTGTTGCTATGGTGACCAGTGAGCTAAGGTAAGACTGGGATTTGCCTAGCAGTGATTTATAGATGACCTGGAGCCAGTGGGTTTGGCGACGAATATGTAGTGAGGGCCAGCCAACAAGAGTGAACAGGTCACAATGGTGGGTTGTATATGGGGCTTTGGTGACAAAACGGATGGCACTGTGATAGACTACATCCAATTTGCTGAGTAGAGTGTTGGAGGCTATTTTGTAAATGACATCGCTCAGCGACGCAGCCCAGTTACAGAGCATTAGCAGCCCAGTCAATGCTAACTTGTCACTCACTCTCACCTACTCTCACCCGTCTCTTTGGTGATACCCACTACCCAGCCCCTACTAATATCTTCGGCTGGGGCTAATAGGATTACCGTAATGAATATCACGAGCTTTTGGCAGCACCGAGCTGCTTAGGCTAATTAAAGCCTCAGAAACGCAGGGTTGTATCCCAGGCCTGACAATATAGATCCCTGAGTAATAATTGATAATCAGACCTTAAGACCTCTACTCCTTCCCTTAACTCCATAGTCCTCCGGAAGATAACTGGCTTAATTAATATAAATGGACGTCAATAAGAGGTTTCTTAACAGATAGCTTTTTGACACATTTCCTTCTAATTAAGCCAGTGGAGACGAGAGGGGGAGGGGGGGGGTCAGTGTAACAAGATCAAGGACTTCTTTATATAATGGCTGCCTGTGCTTTCCCTGATGCGTCAATACCCCAACGTGTTTAATGTACCATAATGGCATAGAGCAGACCAACAACAAAATTGAACATGAAATTGCAATGCGTAGTTAAGCTGCTGTTTGGACCTCGGTTTTCCCCGTAAAAATAGATTTAAGTGTTGCGACACCCAGAGAACCAGACGCAGCTTTATTCCTTTGGCAGCCATATTGGTCGTGATGGCCTTTAACGCTGTAGTAGTACTTTACCTTCTTCCTTAACGTGTGATGCCAAACCCCACATTTCCCCAGCTCCCACTGCAATGTGTGATACACACTCATAAACAAACTAAAGGGCACTTTGCCGTAAAAAAACGTGACGTGTACAGTGGGAGGGAGGGAGGAGATAAACATGCCACTTAAAAGCAATGAGAGGTCTGGGAAATGGCTCTATGTCTCTCAGATTAACAGCTACCTGGATAAACAAACATTAGAACCACAAAGACAGCTCCCACAGGCTCGGCTCTGCAGGAGGACTTGCGGGGACAGGGTTTCATGTTCCCCCCCACAACTATTCTTATAGTTTATTGGTTTAGATATAGAACGTGGAAAGGGGGGGGGTATCCAAATATCCAAATTTGCATTGGAAGCACAGTGCTTCTGTTCTGAGCAGCTAGACTGCTCAAGGTACAGTGGGGAAAAAAAGTATTTAGTCAGCCACCAATTGTGCAAGTTCTCCCACTTAAAAAGATGAGAGAGGCCTGTAATTTTCATCATAGGTACACGTCAACTATGACAGACAAATTGACATTTTTTTTTCTCCAGAAAATCACATTGTAGGATTTTTAATGAATTTATTTGCAGATTATGGTGGATAATAAGTATTTGGTCACCTACAAACAAGTAAGATTTCTGGCTCTCACAGACCTGTAACTTCTTCTTTAAGAGGCTCCTCTGTCCTCCACTCGTTACCTGTATTAATGGCACCTGTTTGAACTTGTTATCAGTATAAAAGACACCTGTCCACAACCTCAAACAGTCACACTCCAAACTCCACTATGGCCAAGACCAAAGAGCTGTCAAAGGACACCAGAAACAAAATTGTAGACCTGCACCAGGCTGGGAAGACTGAATCTGCAATAGGTAAGCAGCTTGGTTTGAAGAAATCAACTGTGGGAGCAATTATTAGGAAATGCAAGACATACAAGACCACTGATAATCTCCCTCGATCTGGGGCTCCACACAAGATCTCACCCCGTGGGGTCAAAATGATCACAAGAACGGTGAGCAAAAATCCCAGAACCACACGGGGGGACCTAGTGAATGACCTGCAGAGAGCTGGGACCAAAGTAACAAAGCCTACCATCAGTAACACACTACGCCGCCAGGGACTTAAATCCTGCAGTGCCAGACGTGTCCCCCTGCTTAAGCCAGTACATGTCCAGGCCCGTCTGAAGTTTGCTAGAGTGCATTTGGATGATCCAGAAGAGGATTGGGAGAATGTCATATGGTCAGATGAAACCAAAATAGAACTTTTTGGTAAAAACTCAACTCGTCGTGTTTGGAGGACAAAGAATGCTGAGTTGCATCCAAAGAACACCATACCTACTGTGAAGCATGGGGGTGGAAACATCATGCTTTGGGGCTGTTTTTCTGCAAAGGGACCAGGACGACTGATCCGTGTAAAGGAAAGAATGAATGGGGCCATGTATCGTGAGATTTTGAGTGAAAACCTCCTTCCATCAGCAAGGGCATTGAAGATGAAACGTGGCTGGGTCTTTCAGCATGACAATGATCCCAAACACACCGCCCGGGCAACGAAGGAGTGGCTTCGTAAGAAGCATTTCAAGGTCCTGGAGTGGCCTAGCCAGTCTCCAGATCTCAACCCCATAGAAAATCTTTGGAGGGAGTTGAAAGTCCGTGTTGCCCAGCGACAGCCCCAAAACATCACTGCTCTAGAGGAGATCTGCATGGAGGAATGGGCCAAAATACCAGCAACAGTGTGTGAAAACCTTGTGAAGACTTACAGAAAATGTTTGACCTGTGTCATTGCCAACAAAGGGTATATAACAAAGTATTGAGAAACTTTTGTTATTGACCAAATACTTATTTTACACCATAATTTGCAAATAAATTCATAAAAAATCCTACAATGTGATTTTCTGGATTTTTTTTCCTCATTTTGGCTGTCATATTTGACGTGTACCTATGATAAATTACAGGCCTCTCATCTTTTTAAGTGGGAGAACTTGCACAATTGGTGGCTGACTAAATACTTTTTTTCCCCACTGTATATACTTGCTATGAATATGTACAGGTGAATCAATTCAATAAGAATGCTACTCATGATGTTCAGTATCTGTTCTTGGTATTTATATCAACGTAATGACACTTCATAATGACTTAATAATAATTTCATGTTAGTTTGATGGATCGTTAAGATACCATACATTTGTTAAAGCAAGATTTGATTTGAATCCCTGATGGATAGAATCCATTTTCCACAGATCGTCAGACTTCTTTTCAGCCATGGAAGTCAGTCAAGCTACTGCGGTTGAAATGACCCCCTGGCCTGCTGTCATTGAAGCATTGAAGCAGTAGTCTTTTCCGAGACTACGTTTCTCTCCCCTTGGTATTCTCCATGCCAACATTGTGTTGTTGTGGCTGCTTGGCTTTCAGAACACGGCAGACTGTGTCGCGGAGATGGAACGTTAACAGCAACATTAGATAAATCAATAGGTTGAATAGCGCTGTGAGGACCCAGGCATTCACAGGGGAGGTGAGGCAGACAGACTTGCAGACAGACATACGGACTCACACACACACAGGCAGGCAGTCACTGTGTTATGCCTGCTGGGTCATCAGGAAAAATACAGACTACCTGACATGAATGCTTGCCTAGATTCATCACTGGGGGAACTGTGGAAGCTGTGTGTGTGTGCGCGCGCATGTTTTGTTTGTTTTTATGTATTATCATGGCTGCCTTGAGGGTGCTCTCTGTTAATCCAAGTTGATGCCATAAACCTGATTACCATCCTATGCGGTGAATGAGTCTGCCTGTAATGCTATGGCGCTCTTATTGGCTGTCTGCTTTTCAACTGTGTACCACTAGGGTGCCTGTGTGTGGTTGTCTGTGTGGCCCATCAGACTGACGCATTATTTCAGTGCATTACTGAAGCCATCTGTCCTCTTCATTGGTATCCCTGTCTGTGTGACACATCTCTTTTCCACAAAACTGTTGGCTGCTCTTTGATGTTAACACTGTCCTTTGTACTCATATTCTATGATATGATATTGTTTTGTCCCAGCTCGGTAAAGATGCTTGTATTAATCGGCGTGCGTCTGTGTATGTTTGCGTGCGTGCGTTCGTGCTTCAATAACTACAAATAGAATCATATTGGGCTGTGTATTCGGCCCATCTAATAGAGTGTAACACACTTGACATTTATTGCCTGCAGCTTTTAATGAAGAGAATATTCATATTAGAGTTGTTATGGGAGGGCAGAAGGCCAGACAGGCAGTTAGTGGTCCCATTCTGCTGATGTGAGCCTAGCCAATCCCTGGGAGGCAGATCACAGGGTGTCTGTGTTGCCAGACTGACACGTAAAGGAGGCACATCACTAGTTGCGGCTCAAATAGCGCCCTATTCCCTATATAGTGCCCAACTTTTGACCAGGCTCCAATGGTTTCTGGTCAAAAGTAGTGCACTTTGTAGGGAACAGGGAGTCATTTGGGAGGCAGCCAGCGTCTCAGGTCTCTCTGGGGATCAGGAGGATGACGGGCGGCGAGTCCCGGCGCTTTGGTCTTCCTGCTTGTAATTCATTAAAGATTACAGCCCCTTCTCCTCCTCCATTGAACAAAGTGTCAAAACAATGAGATTTGGCCTTTGATTGTTCTCATTGGCCCACTGAGTTTACAATCTGCCCGACAGTACAGCTAGATTAATCATTTGAGTCTTTAAACGCCCACAGGCCACACCAGAAGAAATCCACTTTTTTGAGCTGAAAGACGATGGATGACCTGTGATGTTGCACAACGATTTAAGTAATAAGTCATAGTTTTAGTCAAAGTGTGATATACAGTGCATTCGGAAAGTATTCAGAACCCTTGACTTTTTCCACATTTTGTTATGTTACAGCCTTATTCTAAAATGGATTCAATAGTTTTTTTCCCCTCATCAATCTACACACAATACCCCATAATGACAAAGCAAAAAACGTTTTTTTTTGTATGTGTGCAAATTTATACAAATAAATGAACAAATAAATATCACATTTACATAAGTATTCAGACCCTTTACTCAGTACTTTCTTGAAGCACCTTTGGAAGCGATTACAGCCTCAAGTCTTCTTGGGTATGACGCTACAAGCTTGGCATACCTGTATTTGGGGAGTTTCTCCCATTCTTCTCGGCAGATCCTCTCAAGCTCTGTCAGGTTGGATGGGGAGCGTCGCTGCACAGGTATTTTCAGGTCTCTCCAGAGATGTTCGATCGGGTTCAAGTCCGGGCTCATGCTGGGCCACTCAAGGACATTCAGAGACTTGTCCCGAAGCCACTCCTGCGTTGTCTTGGTTGTGTGCTTAGGGTCGTTGTCCTGTTGGAAAGTGAACCTGAGCTCTCTTGAGGAGGTTTTCATCAAGGAGCTCTCTGTACTTTGCTCCGTTCATCTTTCCCTCGATCCTGATTAGTCTCCCAGTCCCTGCCACTGAAAAACATCCCCACAGCATGATGCTGCCACCACCATGCTTCACCATAAGGATGGTGCCAGGTTTTCTCCAGACGTGGCGCTTGGCATTCAGGCCAAAGAGTTCAATCTTGGTTTCATCAGTCCAGAGAATCTTGTTTCTCATTGTCTGAGAGTCCTTGAAGTGCCTTTTAGCAAAATCCAAGCGGGCTGTCGTGCCTTTTACTTCCGTCTGCCCACTCTACCATAAAGGCCTTATTGGTGGAGTGCTGCAGAGATGGTTGACCTTCTGGAAGGTTCTCCCATCTCCATAGTGGAACTCTGGAGCTCGGTCAGTGACCATTGGGTTCTTGGTCACCTCCCTGACCAAGGCCCTTCTCCCTCGATTGCTCAGTTTGTTCGGGTGGCCAGCTCTAGGAAGAGTGTTGGTGGTTCCAAACTTCTTCCATTTAAGAATGATGGAGGCCATTGTGTTCTTGGGGACCTTGTTTGTTTTGGTACCCTTTGACCTCATGGCTTGGTTTTTGCTCTGACATGCACTGTCAACTGTGAGTCCCGTGTGGCTCAGTTGGTAGAGCATGGCGCTTGAAACGCCAGAGTTGTGGGTTCGATTCCCACGGGGGACCAGTTAAAAATGGAATGAAAAATGTATGCATTCACCACTGTAAATCTGCTAAATGACGTAAATGTAAATAGACGTGTGTGCCTTTCCAAATCATGTCCAATCAATTCAATTTACCACAGGTGGACTACAATCAAGTTGTAGAAACATCTCAAGGATGATCAATAGAAACAGGATTCACCTGAACTCAATTTAATTTATTAATTTCTAAAAACCTGTTTTCGTTTTGTCATTATGGGGTATTGTGTATAGATCGATGAGGATTTTTATTTATTTAATCAATTTTAGAATAAGGCTGTAAAGTAACAAAGTGGAAAAAGTCAAGGGGTCTGAATACTTGCCGAATGTACTGTATTTGGGCTTGAAGTGACACATCCAAACTGCCCACTTCGTGCAATTCCTTGTGAATGCGGTGTCTTTTCTTATTAAATTATTTTCAGCCTATGTTTCGCTGGGTTTTATTTTAATGTTACCACCCACCCGTATGGCATTGTTTATTATTCAGAAATAGCTGCAAAGTTATTCCTCTTTGCGACTGAGATGAGCCAAACAGCCTTGTGCCGCCTGAGCAATGCAGGAAATTAAAACAGTGGGTGCAAACATATGTTTTTGCACCTCCAGCTTTTTTAAAACCAGAAAACGATCATAATCCATTAGATAATTTGTCAATTTTCACTTATTTTTGAGTTTGTCTGTATTCAAAATGTATGTCTGACCATTTTAGAAATTGTATTTTTGCATGATATGATAGCATTTTGCAAACCCACTACCCCCGTCGCCCCAAGATGAATGGTTTTGACGACTAAAGTTTTGCCTCACTACATGCTCCACTGCTTTGATTGGTGTAACATTAGCTAGAAACCACAAGCATTTCGCTACACCCACAATAACATCTGCTAAATATGTGTATGTGACCAATAAAATTTGATTTGAAGTATCTATCCAGATAACGAAAAGGCACTCGTGAAAGAACATTAAAGGAAATTATAGTTACATGTCATTTGTGGCGTGCTTGATCATGAGCAAAGTCATTGTAGCCTATCAATCAGCCCGTGCTCATGGTTCCCTGTGAGAACCATGAGCACGGGCTGATTGGCTTTGCTGTACCGCAGCCAAAGCCTGCCAGCAGCCTACCGACTACCAAAGGTTGCACCATGTCCATTACAATGTAGAAAAACGTTCAATAGTTATCCATATTATCTGAGCTTCATCTTATTCTTTCTAACCCTTTCTATGGTGGATTCGCGGCCGCAATTTATGGAAGATGCCAAAACTTTGGAGATGGATGGCGAAATCAAAGATAGGCCAGTGGTTTCCATCTGTGAGGAAGTTTTCCCTAAATCAATGCTTATGACAAATCCAACTCCAAAACCAGCCATAGCTGGCTAATCTTTATAATACGGTATAGGCCTAGAATAGAAAAAAAAATGGCAACAGAACATTAGCTAGCTAGATAAGGTTAGCATGCTAGCTAGCTACACTGACAGCGGTCAGTGCCCTATTTGCTGATGTTTATCAACTCCACGTGGAAATTGTATAAGTATCCTTCGTCATTCTTCAAAGGTGAACCTTAACATGCATTTCCTCTCTAGGATGGAAAATGACGTTGAAATAGTGATGTCAACTTTCTCTGGGGGGGTCCTTTCATATTAGCAGATTCTATAATAATTTAGTCACATTATTCATAATTAGGAGGTAGGCATTAAGCCGTCTCCATGGCTCTTTGTGTTTCTGATTGATTGATTGATTGATTGATTGATTGATTAATTGTACATCTGTTGGTTCCAGACTTTGTTGGGGAGCCATGAACCGTCGTCCGTCCAGCTGTGGGTGTCCTACAACCGCCAGCCAATGAAAGCCGCCCAGTTCATGACCCGCCACCCAATCACAGTGAGTCTCCAGGCTTGCTTTGCAACACCAGAACACCCTCTCTGTGGCTCCTAGTAGACTCCTAGTCTAGAGAACAAACCTGTCACTGTATTGTTGAGAAACTGGGAAAATGTATTTGTAAGGAAATGCTAAAACTCTACTATGTAGCTAGTATGTAGTTGACAGCTCAACATGAGCCAGAAATCACAAGACCAATCACAGAAAATACTGTAAGGCGTGACACTCCACTCACAGTAAAAAGCTGTTAATTCCATGACACTATTTATCTTAAAAATGAACATGTTTTTGTGTAATAAAAGTTTAATTACAATCATCAGCTTTTAGTTGAGGGAATCACACCTATTTTTCTTGATAATGCCCTACACAAATAAGGAAAACTGCTCAACGTCTCTCTTCTTTTCCTGCAGGAGTACTACATCGCTGACGCCTCGGAGGACCAGGTGTTTGTTTGTGTCAACCACGTCAACAACGTCACCCACCTGTACATCTCAGACACGCAGGGCCTGTCCTTCTCCCTGTCCCTGGAGAATGTTCTATACTACAGCCCAGGGGGTTCAGGCAGCAACACCCTCATCAGGTAGGCACAGTGTTCCTAGTCCTAGTGCTTCTCAATACTCTACTGTGGGGGGGGGGGGTTGCACTATTTTGCTCCAGGCCAGCACTTACACACCTGCTTCCTCTATTTGACCTAATCAACCAATCTTTGGTTGTACATTTTTGTTTCAGGCCAGCCCAGCGCTAACCCACCTGATTGATCTATTAACTAATCACAGGTTGCGCATTTTTGTTCCAGCCCAGGACTAACCCATTCGATTCAGCTAATCGACTTATCACTGTGATTAGTGGCTTGATAGTGCTGGGCTAGAACAAAAATGTGCACCCCTTTGGTGTATCCCCCAGGAATAGATTTGGAAACAGTATACTACTAAGCAACGAGGATGCGAGACCTGGGTTCAAATAGTATTGGTATATTTCAAATACTTCAGCTGCCCTTGATTGAGCTTACCTGACATAACAAAATCAAAAGAAAAGTCCCAAAATCACAAACCCTGCCCATCTGACACTCCAGGCAGGCTCAATCAATCGCCCAAATCATTTTAAAGAAAACAAATACTATTTGAACCCAAGTCTGCAATATTCTGAAGTGACTCACAGTTAAGGCAGCCTAATTAGTAGGCTACCTTCTGAGATCTGTAGTGTCTTGCTAGGAACAAACGTAACAGAACTCACCTTGATAAACACCTTGATAAAGCAAACCTTCCTTGATCAAATACACACACCCTTGGATCAAGTATACCCACCTTGATCAAGCGCACCCACCAATCTTGATTTATTTTGAAGGAGAGATGAGTGGAGGCTGTTCTATCCGTGCTACGTCTGATCATGCAAGCACTGGGGGACCTCCTGGTGTGCATTCCTAGTGACCACGATGAGTCAGCGTGTGTGTGTTTTCTCCTCAGTGTTGGTAAACAACAGCAGGGTCTTTGCATGTGTTTCCATGTTCACATCCCAGTGACCAGGATGATGGATGTTTGCTGAGTCCCTGTTGTCATGGCGCTGCAGTGTAGCGTAGTGCGTCCAGTGACTATAATTAATGCGTGCGTACCTGTGTACGTGTTTCATCCCAGGTACTTTGCCAACGAGCCCTTTGCTGACCTGCACCGTGTGGAGGGTCTGCGCGGCGTCTTCGTGGCCACGCTCATCAACGGCTCACTCAGCGAGGACAACATGCGCTCTGTAATCACCTTCGACAAGGGGGGCACCTGGGAAATGCTGCTGGCCCCATCCGCCGACAGCCTGGGAGGAACACTGGACTGCCAGGTAGCTAGCTACTTGTTAAAATAACATCTGACCCTGTATCAGTGGTTAGAGAAAACGTCCACCTACTCCCTGGTGGGTTTCCCCTAACCACTGATACAGGATACTGAAACTCAGACCCCAGATTGTAGCTGCCTGGCAGACTATTGCTGGCAGCTTCAGAAATATGACATTATAAACATCGGGGCGACATCCTGCTTACAGACATCAACAACAACAGGATTAAGATTAGGGCTGTGGTGATACCAGTATCGCAATATTCTTTCCATGGCAAAAATGAAAACATGAAGCAGAACTGAAACTCTTTGGTCCTTTAAAAACTTGCTGTATGTAAAATATTGGGTGCCATAGCTTGGGAAATAAATACATGTGACTCTGGATGACAACATAAGCATGTTTGTTTCCAACATTAGGGCTGTTTTCCTAAATAAGTTAAATCCGCTTCGTGTTTTGTTTCCTTACCACGATACTAGGGAGTGTCGCGATACTGGCATCATCCCGGCCCTAATTAAGATCTGCCCAAGACTCCTACTGTTGGCTCGTATTAATATAGGCATGCCTGAAGGGAGGGCAAAAATTGGGAAGAACCAATAAAGTGGCAGTCTTAGCAGAATTTATTTATGTTGATGTCTGTAAGCAGGAAGTTGCCGTGTTGTGTTTTACACTGTCGTAGTGCTGAGTCTATGAGTCCTTTGAGGTAGGGATTGGGGGTAGGGTAATATGACATTAGTGGTTAGGAACAACAGTCACACAGTGTGTGTTTGCATTCTAAACGGGAAGTGGGTTTGGGTGCAACAGGTGTGTTCTGTTTGGTTTTAGAAAGTGGTCGTGTCCCTTTTACGAAAATGTATGCACTCACTACTGTAAGTCGCTCTGGATAAGAGTGTCTGCTAAATTAATATAATGTAAATGTAGCTTAACTTCTGAGAAAATAGTTTATAGTTTTATTGATTTATCTTCGGTTTTGCCAGAGTGATTATTGTCTCCATTGACCTAACCCGTCTCTATCTCTCTCTCCATCTCGCTCCTCTCCCTCCATAACACCTCTCCATCCCTCCCTCCATTCCCCCTACTCCATCTCCCTTCATCTCTCCTCTCTATCCCTCCATTCTTCCTTTCTATATCTTCCTCCATCTCTCCTCTCCATCCCTCCACCCCCCCCCCTACTCTATCTCCCTCCATCTCTCCTCTCCATCCCTTCCTCCATCCATCCCTCTTCTATACCCCCTCGGTACTTCTCTATCCCCCATCCTCTCCCTCTATCTCCCATCCTGTCCCTCCCTCTCTCCATAGCTCTCCAAGGGCTGCTCCCTCCACCTGGCCCAGCGCTGGAGCCAGCTTCTCAACATTCAGTTGCGCAGGATGCCCATACTGTCCAAGGAGTCAGCGCCAGGGCTCATCATGGCCACAGGTGGGGAGGCTTAGGCTAGCATCATACAACTACAATTTTTTATTAAAAAAAATATATTTGTTCTGATTTTATGGAACAGAGAGAGAGAGAGAGAGAGGATGATAGTGGGAAAGAAAGAGAAAGATTGTGTCAAAGGGACTGACTATTTCTATGAAGAACACATGACTTCCCTTATGGTGGTGCAACTTCCGCTGTTGTCTGATCTGATGGAGAGGACCACTTCCTCCACCAGTCGATCACACAGGAAATGCTGCAGAGTCTCTCCTTCCTGCTCGTTTGTCTGCGTTTGTTTATTCATTTTTTAACCTTCATTAAAGGTTAACCTTTGTAAACCTATGTTTGTGTGCATGCATGTTAGTAACTGCGCGTACTCTCATGTCAGAGCAATCGGCTTTGACCGGGGCTACACTAGGAGCAGTTGGACACAAATCCATTGTGTTTAATCCACTGAAAGTGTCTCTCTTGTCTCTACCGCTTCTGCCTGCTTGGCGGAGTACATTGATTTTCTTTGTAGCTGTGCTGTGTCTGGAAGGAGGAAGAAGCTGCTAGACCTAATTAAATTATTAGTAGATAATGGCCACAGGGAGAAGTGCAGAGAGGCGCAGGGAGAGAGGAGGGCTGAGGAGACACTATGCCCTTCTCGTCCGTGTTATCGCTTACACACAGATGCGCTAATTACTTCTGCCTCACCCAGCGGGTACACACACAAACACACACACAAACCGTCTCTCTCTTTGTCTGGACCCAGCCAACCACACACAACCAGCATCCCCACACCGCCTATCAGGGGGAACATTTCCACCGAAGCGTTTGTTTTGTGACTTGTTCCTGTGACATTTCTTAATTTGGAAAGCACCGTTGATATGGCCTCCAAGAACAACAGTCATTAGTGGTGGTGCAGGGGAGGAGAACATCATTCACTTACTGTGGCATAATTAAACAGCTCTCGGGATGAGTGTCAGACAGAGAGAGAGCCGTACACAACTACATAAAACAATGAAGAGTTGGAGTCAGAGTTTTGCCTGCTGTAATCCATATTGCACTTGTGAATTCTACAACCGGTATCAGTACGCCACACCGTTAGGTGCAACATGGGGGTCTACATCCACATAGGATAAATAGATATTTGATGTTACAGATATTAGACTCATTACACTCGTTGGGGCCTTCCCCCTAGAATGACTATATACTGATTTGATTTTAACCATACCTATAGGTTCAGCAAATGGGAAGGAGAGAGTATTGACACTGCAATATAACGTTGACAATAAAGCACTCTGGACAGTAGGTTGCGGTATGCAGAGTTTGTTTGAACATAGGCCCATTCCTTGACGTCAAGCATCTGTTAAAAAACCCTGGATGTAATCTATCCCTATGTAGAGACACCCAGCTATAGGGCCATGCTACAGTAGCTCCTTTCTCCATGGCAGCATCTCAAATGGCACCCTATTCCCTATATAGTGAGCTACTTTTGATCTGTTGTTGGCTTTGTGTGCTCTGGGCTGGCCACTGTGCTTGGGCGCGTCCCAAATTACACGGCACCCTATTCCCTATGCATGTGGTGCACTACTTTTGACCGGGGCCCATAGGGCTTTTGGTCAAAAGTAGTGCACTATGTAGGGAATAGGGTGCTATTTGGGACAATGCCTGGATACTGCTGGGACTGGAGACCACCTGAAGCTGCAGTAGTGTTCTTACTGAATCACTCTCTGTGTGTACTGTTTAATTCATCACCTCCTCTCTCACAGCCATTCCAGTGATCATCCTGTGTCTGTGTTTGTCTCCCCTGCAGGTTCTGTGGGCAAGAACCTGGCCAACAAGCCCAATGTGTATGTGTCCAGCAGTGCTGGGGCCAGATGGAGAGAGGTCAGTGTCTGTGTGTGTCTTGTTTGTGTGTGTGCTTTGTTTTCTATAGTGTGTGCGCCTTGTTTGTGTGTGTGTGTGTGTGTGTGTGTGTGTGTGCCATACATGTAACTATGCACATGATGAGCATGCTGTAAATCATGACATTGGTTATTCTTGGATGTTTCCTGCCTATGCTAAACCCCTCATACCAAAGGGTTTCTGTGGAACGACTAGCCACAAAGCTGAATGCCCAGCAGAGGACACTTTCTTTGACAGCATATTATTAAGCAACAACAAACATGGTGCTGCAGTTATTCAAAGCCACTCTCTGTAATATGTGCGTACAATTTCAAGACTGGGGAACCCTCTAAAACAATGGAGCAAAAGCACCCATAACATTTTCACATGCTCTTGATGTCTATGATGTGACATTCCACAAGAGCAAAAAATAATAATAATAATAATATATATATATATATATATATATATATTTTTTTTTAAACATACTTTTAATGTGAACATAGTATACTTCATTTAAGTATCATGACAACCAAAATATTTTTGATAATAATATGGCCCGACAGTTGTACTAGTCTTACTGTGGTAGCTATATAAATTGACCAGCAAACTGTGGCTTTAATGAGTGTTCTTCACATTTACCCTTCTCCAGGCGCTGGCCGGTCCTCACTTCTACACGTGGGGTGACCATGGGGGCATCCTCATGGCCATCGCCCAGGGGGGCTCCACCACACACCTCAAGTGAGTCTCACAACTGTCCTAAATAAGACCCATATCTCCACTGCTAGAACAGCACAGTATGCTGTATATCACTCCCTCCTCATTGCACTTTCAGTCCACTTACCTTGTCAAATAAAGGTTCAATGAATTGTACCCTTTTCAACCCACTGTGTCACTGCCAACCCAAGCAGTACTGTGCTGGCTCGGAAATATAATTTTCACATTGTCCTTTCCAGCACGGTTCCAGCTACTACAGTACATGGGATACATAACCAGGCCAATGCAGTACAGCTTGGCTTGGCTCGGCTCAGTAGTGTAAAATGGGTATAAATATTTTAACCATGCTAATTTCGATCTCCATACTGTCTCTGTCGGCCCTGCGATAGACTAGCATCCTGTTCAGGTGGTGTACTTGCTGCCTCACGCTACAGAATCAGTAGATTTGCCCTATGGGCCATTCTGGCTCGGACAAGGCTACTTACCTACTGTCTCTCTGTGTCTCAGGTTCAGTACCAATGAGGGGGAGACGTGGACGGACTTCCATTTCTCCGACAGGGAGGTGTATGTCTACCAGCTGCTGACGGAGCCGGGGGAGAAGAGCACCATCTTTACCATCTTCGGCTCCTATGCTGACCAGAGACACAGCTGGCTCATCCTGCAGGTCAACGCCAGCGACGTGCTCGGTGAGTAGACTCTCATAATATTATTACACTGGGCTGAAGTCATGACTGAAGTATGCTCAGCCTGGTGCTTTTGCGTCCGTTTGTCGTCCATTTTCACAATGCCAATGAGAAATATCCATCCATTGGGCCAGGGTCTCACTGAGGGGGTGTGTGTGTTTGTGCATTCGTGTGTGTCCACTGTCCAGGCATATGTACGCTTATGTCCCAATGCTACTGTAATACAATATAATCCAATTCCAAATCAAGTATTTAAAATGTGTGTATTTGTGTGTCTCTTCAGGCGTGCCATGCGCCGAGGGAGACTACAAGCGCTGGTCCCCGTCAGACGAGCGGGGCAACGACTGCCTTCTGGGTAGAGAGATGGTGTATAAGCGACGCACGCCCCACGCCACCTGCTTCAACGGTGAAGACTTTGACCGCCCCGTCACCGTGTCCAACTGCTCCTGCACACGCCAGGACTACGAGTGGTGAGACCAGAGGCACCATTGCCAAGCCCCTGTCCAATCCCAAATCCGCCCTTTGCCTCTACCCCTAAACACTATGTACCCCTATAGGCACTTTATATCGATCTGAAAGGATTGGATAGCTGCTATCTATAAAGGTAATAGCTCCACCTTTCCTTCTGTTAAGCTAGGACTAGGTGGAATGTTTCTCCCTTACTTACAACTATGCTATCCTTTCAGGGTAGGGGCTAGGGGTTGATTGGAATTGGGCAACAGTCTTTTCCACTCATCTCTGTCTGTTCATAGTTTCATAGTCTGATAGGCTAACATTGGGTCTGTCTCTCTCTATCTCTCTCTCTCTCTTCTCTCTCTCTCTCTCTCTCTCTCTCTCTCCTCTCTCCTCTTTCTCGTCTCTCCCTGCTTTCCTCTCTACTCTCCCTCTCTCTCTCTCCTCTCCTCTCTCTCTCTCCTCTCTCATCTCCTCCATCTCTCTCTCTCTCTCTCCCCTCTCTCCTCTTCTCTCTCTCCTCTCTCTCCTCTCTCTCCACTGTCTCTCTCTCTCTCTCTCTCTCTCTCTCTCTCTCTCACCCTCCTTTTTCTCCTGTTCTCAGTGACTATGGCTTCAAGCTGAGTGAGGACCTGGCCCTCCAGGTGTGCCTGCCCGACCCCGAGTTCTCAGGGAACCTCTACGCCCCTCCCGTGCCCTGCCCTGTTGGCACTACCTACCGTCGCAGTACAGGGTAAGCCAATATCCCTTTGGTATTAGCATATTGTCACTTCATCAGAAACCAGGCTTTACCCTTCTCATAATTATAGCCTTTTTCCTTTTGTTAAGGTGACTCCACACGTTGAGGGTTACGGCCTTGCAATGGGTCAGGATTATATGACCTGGCTGAGCTGAAGGGTTTTGGGGTTTTGGACTGAATTCATTGTGTGTCCCAAATGTGTGTCCCAAATGGGCCTTGGTCAAAAGTAGTGCACTTTAAAGGGAATAGGGTGCCATTTGGGATGTAACCATAAAGGTTGAGATACACTTGTCCTTGGTGGCAGACTGGCAGTGACATATGGCTTATAAAAACGAATGGCATTTCCTAGCGTATCAGTCTTCACCTCAATCTTGTATGATTTTTTACTGCCGCAAGGAGACGACCGTTCGATATCAACATGATTAATTATGAATATGATATGAACGCTGTGTAATTACCGTCCTTTGTTGTCATAGGGGAAACTGTCTTTGTTCTTCTTTTGTGTAATGGGGAAGAGAAAGGAGTGACGTTGTTCCATTATATAGCCCTTGCTTATCATGGAGAACAGCCCCACCTAGTGTCATAAGGAGAGAAATGTCCCAGCAAAATCTTGACATACACTGAGTGTACAAAACATTAAGATCACCTTCCTAATATTGAGTGGCACCCCTCCTTTTGCCCTCAGAACAGCCTCAATTCGTCGGGGCATGGACTCTACAAGGTGTCGAAAGCATTCCACAGGGATGCTGGCTCATGTTGACTCCAATGCTTCCCCGTTTTGTCAAGTTGGCTGGTCCTTTGGGTGTTGGATCATTCTTGATACACACGGGAAACTGTTGAGCGTGAAAAACCCAGCAGTGTTACAGTTCTTGACACAAACCGGTGCACCTGGCACCTACTACCATGCCCTGTTCAAAGGCACTTACATTTTTTGTCTTGCCCATTCACCCTCTGAATGGCACACATACACAATCCATGTCTCAATTTGCTCAAGGCTTAAAAATCCTTATTTAACCTGTCTCCTCCCCTTCATCTACACTGATTGAAGTGGATTTAACAAGTGACATCAATAAGGGATCATAGCTTTCAGCTGGTTAGTCTATGTCATGGAAAGAGAAGGTGTTCCTAATGTTTTGTACACTCAGTGTGTATAAAATGGAGAACATGTAAACATTTGTTCTCCTTTTTTACACAACTACGCATAGGATACACTATACTACACCATGTGTTGTGCACATACTCTTGTTGTGATATTGGGTGGTGGGTGTTTGTCTGACCATGTTATTATGCAATTTGTGTGTCTCTATCGCTCTCTCTCTCTCTCTCTCTCAGGTACAGGAAGGTGTCTGGGGACAGCTGTAGTGGAGGGGATGTAGAAGCCAGACTGGATGGAGAGATGCTGCCCTGTCCTGTAGGAGGTAAACCTCCCCTCTCTCAATTAAGAATCCGTCATTAGAGCAGGGCCAATAAAACAAGCTCAGCATTACATACGTACCCACATACAGTCAGACCATGGGCCGTAGGTATCAAGCATCTCGGAGTATGCTTATTAGTGCTGATTTAGGATAAGTTTTCCCTTTTAGATGAATAAGAGACACTCTGAGACGCTTGAAACGAGGTTCACAAATACTTTACCTTGATGGTGTTCTCCGTTTTGCTCTACGACCCCCACAAGTGTCACGGGACTCCTCTGAAGGTAGCCCATACAAATGAATGGAAGTATGGAGGTAGTTTTGTGTCCAAAAAAACGAAAATATTTCCTGAACTTTTTTATATCTCCTAGATATAGAACAGACACTTCAAAACGTTATTCCTTAAGATTTATTTTTTGACTGTCTTTTTCTGCCATCTATGAATGTGTTATTCAATGCGTTTCTATGGGCTATAGTAGTAGGCCAAATTCTGTATTTTATCAAAAAATATATATATATATTTTTGGGGGGGATACCTAAAGGGCCTAAAGTTCATAATCAAGTAGCTACATGATCGGCTTAGAGGTTAGAGGTTAAATGATAATCCAACCCCAAGAACAGGGTTGAAATGTTTGCCACTTTCGCAGCTTGCAGAAGCGGTGAGAGCAGACAAAGACAGTGGGTCATGGGACATGACGGGGTTATGTGGTACGGGCCACACAGTTTTATCTTTATTGCTAGACCTTAAAGAAACTCTGTTGTACAATTGAGGCAAAAGATTTTGTAAGTTACCTTTAGTCACGCATTATGGGGTGAATTTAGTTAAAGATACAAAGGTTAGCCCCCAGCAGTAGATTATAGGCTACAACACATGTAAGTTAGACCTCAGGGACAGTAGCTGCTGCGGCTGGAACTGGTTATAGGGATCCAAAAAGCAAATAAACAAGTAAGTATTAGTGAATTCATGAAAAGTGAAATTACTCAAATGTTATACATAAAAGCAAAGGGTAGGATGAACTTTAATTTCCCTGAGGGGAAATTGTTTTAGACATGCATTACTGCTGTATACAAAATAAATACTGCCGTACACACTGCTGTATACAAAATAAATACTGCCGTACACACTGCTGTATACAAAATAAATACTGCCGTACACACTGCTGTATACAAAATAAATACTGCCGTACATACTGCTGTATACAAAATAAATACTGCCGTACACACTGCTGTATACAAAATAAAATGCAATATGTTGCTATTTTCTTACCAGTTGTTACTCTTCACATGGATATAGATAAGAATGAATTGTATTAAGTGTTCTTTTTCTCCTGGTCTTTTCCAGAGAGTAATGAGTTCATCCTGTACGCTGTGAGGAACTCCATCCATCGCTATGACCTGGCCACAGGGACCGACCAGGCCCTGCCCCTCTCTGGTCTCCGCGAGGCCGTGGCCCTAGACTTTGACTACGAAAGGAACTGCCTATACTGGGCCGACATCTCGCTGGACACCATACAGGTCAGGGCCTTCACAGAAGGCACTCAGATGTAACCATGACTTACCCTATTCCCTATATAGTACATTACTTGTGTACTATATAGGGAATAAAGTGCCATTTCTGACACAGAATCTATCCTACACACACTTCAGAAACCAAGTGCCCCCGCACATTGACTCTGTACCGGTACCCGCTGTATATAGCCTCCCTACTGTTATGTTCTTTTACTGCTGCTCTTTAATTATGTTTTACTTAACACTTCTTTTTCTTAAAACTGCATTGTTGGTTAAGGGCTTGTAAGTAAGCATTTCACTGTAAGGTCTACACCTGTTGTATTCGGTGCATGTGGCAAATAACATTTGATTTGTTTTGATTTTGAACAGTACATTGTGAATCGTGATTAGTGAAAAGTATATACACATACTTCAGTGACCACATGCCTCCCTGGTCTCCCCCTCCAGAGGCTTTGTCTGAACGGCAGTACGGGACAGGAAGTGATCGTGAGGAAGGACCTGCAGAATGTGGAGGCCCTCACCTTTGACCCCATCAGCAGGCTGCTTTACTGGGTGGACGCCGGAGCGCAGAGGATTGAGGTAAACATGAGGAACAGGGATTTGTCCAATATTTGATATATACTGAACAAAAATATAAATGCAACATGCAACAATTTCAACAGTTTTACTGAGTTACACTTCATATAAGGAAATCAGTCAATTGAATATATTCATTAGGCCCTAATCTATGGATTTCACATGACTGAGCAGGGGCGCAGCCATGGGTGGGCCTGGCTCCCAAGCGTTTGCCCTCCCATTATTACAGACAGAAATACTCCTCCGTTTCATCAGCTGTCCGGGTGGCTGGTCTAAGATGATCCCGCAGGTAAAGAAGCCGGATGCATGGTGGTGGCAGCATCATGCTGTGGGGATTTTTTTCAGCAGCAGGGACTGGGAGACTAGTCAGGATCGAGGGAAAGATGAACGGAGCAAAGTACAGAGAGATCCTTGATGAAAACCTGCTCCAGAGCGCTCAGGACCTCAGACTGGGGTGAAGGTTCACTTTCCAACAGGACAACGACCCTAAGCACACAACCAAGACAACGCAGGAGTGGCTTCGGTACAAGTCTCTGAATGTCCTTCAGTGGCCCAGCCTGAGCCCGGTCTTGAACCCGATCTAACATCTCTGGAGAGCCCTGAAAATAGCTGTGCAGCAACGCTCCCCATCCAACCTGACAGAGCTTGAGAGGATCTGCAGAGAAGAATGGGAGAAACTCCCCAAATACAGGTGTGCCAAGCTTGTAGCGTCATACCCAAGAAGACTCAAGGCTGTAATTGATGCCAAAGGTGCTTCAACAAAGTACTGAGTAAAGGGTCTGAATACATATGTAAATGTCATATTTACGTTTTTTTAATTTGATAAATTTGCCAAAAATGTGAAAAACCTGTTCTTTCTTTGTCATTATGGGGTATTGTGTGTAGATTGATTGGGGGGGGGGATTTGAATCCATTTTAGAATAAGGCTGTAACGTAACAAAATGTGAAAAAAGTCAAGGGGTCTGAATACTTTTCGAATGCACTGCATATATATTCTTTCTCCATCTTATTGAAGCCTTGTTTGATTTATATTTATATCCTCACCTGATAAATGACATGCTACTGTATAGTATCAGGCAATACAGTGTGTATTCGGTGCATGTGACAAATAAGATTTGATTTGATGATGGTGACCCACTCCATGTGTATGCCTTGGGGCGGCAGGTAGCTTAGTGGTTAAGAGCGTTGTGCCAGTAACCGAAAGGTCGCTGGTTCTAATCCCCGAGCCGACTAGGTGAAAATTCTGTCGATGTGCCCTTGAGCAAGGCACTTAACCCTAATTGCTCCTGTAAGTCGCTCTGGATAAGAGCGTCTGCTAAATGACTAAAATGTAAATGTAAATGTAAATGCCTTGTGTTGTGTAGGTGTCTAACCCTGATGGGGACCTACGTCACACTCTGCTCAACTCCTCAGTGCTAGAGCATCCCAGAGCTCTGGTCCTCATGCCAGGAGAGAGGTAACACTGTCTAATTACCTTGAATATCAGCCATCAATTTTTAAATCAAATGCATTTATAAAGCTTTATTTACACAAAAAGGTATCCCGCATGACCGACTGTTAAAGGGGCAATCTGTGATTGCTTCATCCATTTTGGACTTTACCGCTTTGTTTTTGTTTGAACTGCAGATTGCCCCTTTAATGTAAATAACATCAATGTTAATATCTGTCTGATATACTTGCTTAATCTGTGATGCGTCTCTCCTACCAGCCTGATGTTCTGGACGGATTGGGGTGACCGTGCGGCCGGCGTGTACCGCGGCTACATGGACGGCTCCAACGTGTCATGCATCGTGTCCGAGGGCGTCCGCTGGCCCAACGGCATTACAGCTGACGACCAATGGCTGTACTGGACCGAGGCCTACGGCGATCGCATCGAGCGGGCAGACTTCGCCGGCGGTCAGCGCAGTGTGGTCATGGAGGGCCTGCCTCACCCCTACGCCATTGCTGTTTTCAAGGTACTTTAGAACGGTTGATGCGCTTATGGAGTATTAAGGCCCACTCTGTGATATTTACAGCCGTTTTTGATCATTTAAAGGAATGATGTATACCCATTGATTCTTGAAGAATATCACTTATAAACAAGCTTAGTTCATTTGTCTAACGTCTTTAAAGGTAGACTCTGCAATATGACATCATCATACACAGCCGGTCAACTTCCTGCTTCCAGATGTCAACAATAACAGAATTCAAAATGGCCCAGGATTGTCACTATTGGCTCTTTCCAAATTTGCTCCCTCCCTTGAGGCATGTCCACATTGTTTCAGGTTTTTAATGTCACATACACAAGTACAGTGAAATGCCTTTCTTGCAAACTCAAAACCCAACAATGCAATAATCAATAACAATGTAATACCAGAACAAACACATGAGAAATAAGAAGAAATATGAAGAACACAATGAGTAAGTAAGTAAGCATACTATATACTTGGTCAGTTCCAATGCCATATTTACAATGTGCAGGGATACTGGAGTGATGGAGGTAGATATGTAAAGGGGTAAGGTGACTAGGCAACAGGATATAAGATAAACAGAGTAGCAGCAGCTTGTATGTGAGTGGGTGTGTGTGTGGAGTCAGTATAAATATATATTTGGAATTATCCAATAGAAGCAGCCTTGTCAAATAAGAATGTTATTGATGTCTGGAAGCAAAAAGTTGGCACACTGTGTATGATGATGTCATATTGCAGATTCTACCTTTAAGGTTATTGAGTGTGCAACACTGGGGATAACTCATGGCACATAAAGTAGCACAGTCCCATTGTAAAAAATATATCTATGTTTGTTTTCATATAATCTCCCAGTTACTGGGCAAATCCTCATTGGCGTGTGTGTGTTTTCAGAATGACCTGTACTGGGATGACTGGTCAAGGAGGGGCATCTTCAAGGCTTCTAAAGCAGGCTCCCAGGACAATGAGCTGATAGTGGGTAGACTGACCGGGGTCATGGACCTCAAAATCTTCTACAAGGGCAAGACCAGAGGTGAGAGACAAGCAGTGAAACCATATTAATGGCTGTTCTAAGTAAACCCTCCAAGAACTTCAATGGTCAGCATTAAATAGATATTATGTGTGGTTAGAATGCTACTCTGGAAGCGACAATAGTGGAAGCTTTGTTTGGACACCCCCACTACCTCAGCAGAGTTAGACGAATCACATGATTGGAGCTTAGTGTACCTGTCTGCTCATGATAAACCAGTGTGTGTGTGTTTCCACTCTCTTCCAGGCCATAATGCCTGTGCAGACCAACCCTGCAGCCTACTGTGTCTACCCCAGCCCGGGCACCGCCACACCTGTGTATGCCCCGACGGAGCGCCCACCACCACCCTACCCAATGGGGTGCTCCAGTGCCAGTGTCCCACCGGCTACCAGCTCCACAACAAGACCTGCATCAAGACAGGTGAGGCCTGGCACACTCACATACGTGCACACACGCTTTCTGACAGACACACAGGCACACAAACACACACACCCAATGGTCTCGCTGGGTACAAAATACTACTGATCAAGTAAAATGTGCCGAAAACAACAGGTGTAGACCTTACCGTGAAATGCTTACTTATGAGCACTTAACCAACAATGCAGAGTTTGAAAAAGTATGAAAAATGTGTTAAATAAACTAAAGGAAAAATATTTACATTTTAGTCATTTAGCAGACGCTCTTATCCAGAGCGACTTACAATAAAGTAACAATAATGAGGCTATTTGTTATTCTTTAATTCTTTAATTTTTTACTTACCTATTTTTTACTTTACACTTATTTTTCTTAAAACTGGATTATTGGTTAAGGGCTGTAAGTAAGCATTTCACTGTAAGGTCTACACCTGTTGTATTCGCCGCATGTGACAAATACAATTTGACTTGATTTGATAAAGGGGGTACCGGTACCGAGTAAATGTACGGGGTAGTCAAGGTAATTGAGGTAATATGTGCATGTAGGTAGGGGTAAAGTGACTATGCATAGATAATACACAGATGCATGATCATGTATTGAGGTTCTCAACATAGTCCTTCAGATTACCCTATCACAGTACTACAGATCCACAATGGTGCCGGCTTTTGTTCCAACCTAGCACTAACACCTGTGTCACCTAATTCAACTAATCAACAAGCGATGAGTTGAATCAGGCGTGTTAGTACTGGGTTGGAACAAAAGCCTGCACAGCCTGCAGTGGGTCCGTCCCCAGGTTCTAGATCCCTGCCTCAGTAAATGTAGAGAACCACTAACTTCCTCTCCCTCTCTCTCTGACTGGTTGTGTGACTGGTTGTGGTTCTCCAAGGACCACTTTGGAAATAAGTGTTTTCATTGACACTTTTACATGCTATCCTTTGGGATTCAAATACATTTCTTGATGATGTATGTTTTATTTGCAACCCAAAATCGAATGAAATTCAACTCCCCCAGAACACACGTGCCTGCCCAACCAGTACCGCTGCTCCAACGGCAAGTGCATCAGCAGCATCTGGAAGTGCGACAGCGACAACGACTGTGGCGACATGAGTGACGAGCAGGAGTGCCGTGAGTAGAGCCCAAATGGCACCCTATTCCCTATATAGTGCACTACTTTTGGCCAGGCCATTTCAGACGCACAATGGACAACTCACTCACTCACTCAGATTATTCTGTTTATTATTATTATTATTATTATAATAAAAATGGTTGGGAGTTGAATCCTTGTTTGTAAGGTACTTAGTGAATAAAATGGATCCAACCAATAGTCTTCAATAGAGCTAGACTAGATTTTGTTGCTCTCACACTGTTACAATACACTCTGCTTTGGGTCTCTGCTGCTGTTCTCTCTCTGTTCTTCTGGGCTCAATGTCAATACCCTGTCATTCTGTCTGTCCCTCTGCCCCCCTGTCCGTCCCCCTCCAGCCACCGCCTCCTGTGACCCGTCCATCCAGTTCCGCTGTGTGGCGTCCGGCTCCTGTATCCCGCTGGCATTCAAGTGTGACCACGAGGACGACTGTGGGGACAACAGTGACGAGGAACACTGTGGTACGAGGAAGAGAGAGTGTGTGCGTGCGCATGCGCGTGTGTGTTTTTTTTTTTTTACTGACAACGTGTGCTCTATCCTGTATGACGTTTGAGATTGTATATAGTATTTGTGATGCTTCCTCTGATTACTGACTGTGTATGTGTGTGTGTATCCCAGAGAGTCACCAGTGTGGACCAGGGGAGTTCACGTGTGCGCGGGGTGTGTGTATCCGCGAGGCCTGGCGATGTGACGGAGACAACGACTGCAGGGACTGGTCGGACGAAGCCAACTGTACAGGTGAGATCAGGGCCAGGTTCAAAAGGAAAATGTTGTGGAACGTTGCACAACCTCCCTCTCTCTCTTAGTCTCTCCATCACTCTCTCTCACTCTCTCTCTCTCTCTCCCTCCTTCCCTCCCTGTCTCAGTGGGTCACCATACCTGTGAGGCCAGTAGTTTCCAGTGTCTCACGGGCCACTGTATCCCTAAGCGTTGGGTGTGTGACGGTGATGATGACTGTCAGGACAGCTCTGACGAGGAGCGAGCACACTGCGGTGAGGACACACGCACCCAACACACACGCACACACACACACACACATAGACACAGCCCTCGCTCTGCTTGACACCAACACCCATGATGTTATGTAATTGTTACGACAGCGCTATGACAGTGTTAGGTAGCCTTTATGTAGGACGGTTCAAGCAAAGTGTTACCCAGATTTCTATGTCCAGTCTTTGATAGGATGGCTTGGCACTAACAGATGCTGTGTTGTTGTTGACAGTGGGGGATCGCTGTAATGGCTTCCTGTGTTCCAATGGCACCTGTCTGCCTGCCAGTGCCCACTGCAACGGAGTACAGGACTGCCCAGGGGGTGCAGACGAGCAACACTGTGGTGAGTGACCAACTGAAAGTCTAACCCCGAAACTAGACTGCAAACTATAGAAATATATGTGCTGCAAACATTGTCTATGCGTTCCGTTAGTGTTGTTTTTCGCCTGCTACCCCAGATGCACTTCGGTCTTTTGAAAAACACAAACGTTAGAGGGCTATTGTCATAGACTGATTTTTGTCATCAATAGATTCACCTGAAATTCCTTAAAATGAAAGGTTGGTTGAGAATATCTCAGACGTATCCCATTGTAATATAGTAGTACTATGTCTGTGTGTGTCCCCTCCTTGCAGATCCCCTGTGTACGCGCTACATGGATTTTGTGTGTCAGAACCGAGCCCAGTGCCTGTTCCAGTCTCTGGTGTGTGACGGCACCAAACACTGCGAGGACGGATCCGATGAGGACGTGGCCTACGCCAGCTGCTGTGAGTCCTACTCCACTAACCCCACCACTACTATCACAGACAACACTTTCCTGATATTTACAGTCACTAAATACATATGCTATTACATAGCCCAGGGTTTTTTCCTGTGCACGTGACCTAACCTGGGTCGTGTTCATATGAAATCCATTTCAAAACGTTGTGCAGCGAAAAAGGAACAAGCATTCCTTATCTGGTTTCACTCCCTGTTTTTTCCATGACCCAGGAACATGTTTGGTCAGGTCAGGAAAAACGTCATGAATGTATCGGTACTAGAAAGGTATTAATTTGTTGTACTGATTGCCACCCGTCTCTCCCTCTAGCCACTCACCCTGAGTTTGAGAAGACGTGTGACGCCTACAACTTCCAGTGTGCCAACGGAGTGTGTGTGAGCCTGGGGTGGAAGTGTGACGGCATGAACGACTGCGGGGACTACTCTGACGAAGCCAACTGTGGTGAGTACACACATTGTGTGTGCGTGTCACATGCATCAGCTATGTACACTGCAGCGCTTTATAAATGAAGTGTTTGTGTGTCTATGTTTCAGGCTCCCCCACTGAGGGGCCGGGCTGCGCGCGGGACTTCCAATACGAGTGTCGTAACGGGCGCTGTGTGCCCTCCTGGTGGAAGTGTGACGGAGAGAATGACTGTGGAGACTGGTCTGACGAGGCTCAGTGCACTGGTACACTCTCTCTCTCTCTCTCTCTCTTTGTCTCTCTCTCTCTCTCTTTGTCTCTCTCTCTCTCTCTTTGTCTCTCTCTCTCTCTCTCTTTGTCTATCTCTCTCTCTCTCTCTCTCTCTCTCTCTCTCTCTCTCTCGCTCTCTTCCTCTCTCTCTGCTCTCTTCTAATCTCTCCTCTATCTTCTCTTCTCTCTTATATCTTCTCTCTTTCTCTCTCTCTCTTCTCTCTCTCCTTCTTGTCTGTCTCTCCTCTGTCTCTGTTCTGTATCTCTTTCTCTCTCTCTCTCTCTCTCTCTCTCTCTCTCTCCTCTCTTCTCTTCTCTCTCTCTCTCTCTCTCTCTCTCTCTCTCTCTCTCTCTCTCTCTCTCTCTCTCTCTCTCTCTCATTCCTGCCAGATCTCTATGACCTATGTATGGGTGGTCCTCTGTAGCTCAGCTGGTAGAGCACGGCGCTTGTAACGCCAAGGTAGTGGGTTTGATCCCCGGGACCACCCATACACAAAAATGTATGCACGCATGACTGTAAGTCGCTTTGGATAAAAGCGTCTGCTAAATGGCATTGTATTTGTATTGTTGTACCAAACCATTTCAAGTGTTATGTTTTTATTAATTTAAACCTTTTCCTCTTTCTTTTTTTCTTAGGAGGAGTCACGCCCCACACCCCAGCCCCAGGCCCGTCCTCCTGCGCCCCTAATCGCTTCCACTGTGGCTCGGGAGCCTGTATAGTCAACTCCTGGGTGTGTGACGGCTACGCTGACTGTCCCGATGGCAGTGATGAACTGGGTTGTCCCACAGGTGAACAACCGTCTCTATCTACACCAAAGGGCTTGCCACCTTGGCTACACAGCTCAGGATTAGTTATATGTAGGTAGGGCCAGGTGGTTATTCCTGACCATGTGACTTGACCAGAAAACATTTTGGAGCTACTTGTCTCTTTATCTGTGGTGATTTGAAAATACTTGACAGGTGAAAACAATATGGTGGAAACTCATCATTAGGCTAGTAAGACAGAGGGGCGCTGTTTCGCTCGCTCGGATGCTTTCTCCGGTGAGATAGTTTCAGACACTTCCGAATTGAAGGAAAGTTGGAGTGATTTGTTTGACAATCAGATGAAACATGACTGGTTGTGTTCATGCCACATTAAAAGGTAACAATTTTTTTGCAGTTAAATGACATGTCTTTACTATAAAACCCATTAAAAAAACACGTGACCCCTTATGGAAATCAAATGCCCATCCAACTGATTTGTTCTTGCGGTGGCCCTGTGGTTATGTTTTGTTTCCATGGCAGCAGCCAACGGCACGGCGACACAGGCCCCGTGGCCCACCCACGCCCTTCCCCCTGGCCGCTGCAGCAAGGGCCAGTTCCTCTGCCGGAAGCCCCCCACATGCATCCCTGACTGGCAGCGCTGCGACGGCCACCAACACTGCCTGGACGGTTCAGACGAAGCCCACTGTCGTAAGTGTTACACACAGAGTGCACAGACGTTGATGACCTATGCTCCTCATGGGGCCTAAGCCAGTCAGTCAATACACAAACTTGAGTGGGGACTTTCAAACTGGCCAAAAGGGTGGGTCTGAAACACGTAGCCAACCCAGGAACGGTGTTTATTCATAAAATGCACAAAATGTTATAAGAAACACAGATCCACCCGAAGACTACGACACTGGAACTTTGACGTTTCACTCTGCGTGCCAAGTAAACCTTGAAAGGGGGATGTGGTTCTCACACTTCTCTCTTCTCCTTTTCTCTCTTCCCCCCCCCCCCGTTTCTTCTTTCTCTTCTGCTTTTCTCTCCTCGCTCTCTCTGTCTGGTAGCCACGCGAGGGCCTCTAACGTGTGTGAACGGCACGCGCTGCGCTGACGGGGAGGCCTGTGTGCTGGACGGTGAGAGGTGTGACGGCTTCATGGACTGCTCCGACCACAGTGATGAGGACAACTGCACCAGTGAGTCTTCAGTAGCCAGGCTTCTTCCGCCCTTAAAGGGAGACTCGGGAATATGACATCATCACAAGCTGCGGGCAACTTCCTGCTTTACAGACTTCAACAAAAACAGACTTCAAACAGACCCACACACGAGCTAATAGTGACAGTCCTGGCCAATTATGATGTTATTGTTGTTTATTTCTGTAAGCAGGAAGTGGCTCTGCTGTATATTACAATGTCATATTGCTGAGTATACTTTTAATGAAAATCATGTCACAGCCCCATCAATTTACATAAGTGAAGTCTTTTCACTTGCCATAGTATCTCTCCTCTCTAACGTTTGTATTGGGGGTGGGTTTCTGACCTGTCTCTCTGTAGCCGACTCTCTGGTCTACAAGATCCAGAACCTGCAGTGGACGGCAGACTTCTCTGGCGCCATCACCCTCACCTGGTCCAGACCTAAGAACCTGCCCCTGGCTTCCTGCTACTTCCTCATCTACTACAGGTCAGTCACTCAGTCAGTGTGTGTGTGTGTGTGTGTGTGTCCAGAGAATCATTTTCGTTTTAAAGTTAATTTCTGCAATGCAATGGGGGCATAGAGAAAATGTTGCCGTTTTAAAGCAAGTTTTCTGTAATTGTATAACAATTTTATAACACTTTGCAATTCTACTCATTTTGCCATGGGGCAGAGATGCAGTTTTAAAGCTATTTTCCTGCAATATTACACATTTCACCACGATTTATGCCATGATATTTTTATTTTATTTAACCGTTATTTAACTAGGCAAGTCAGTTAAGAACAAATTCTTATTTACAATGACGGCCTACCCCGGCCAAACCCGGACGATGCTGGGCCAATTGTGCGGCACCCTATTAATATGATGTCTGCTTGAGAATGACTCACAAAATCAACAGAGGGCCCCCTGGATGTCAGGGCCCTGGGCACTTGCCCTGCATGCCCGGTTAATATTTGGCCATGATTATTACAAGTTTAGATAGCTAGCTAGACTAACTACCAATCAAAAAATTGTTAGCTGACATGGCTAATTGAGTTACTGTCAGTGATTGAAATAACAAGAGAAAAACTGCCGAATGATGCACAACCAATTAAAATTACACCTGGTGTATTTTACTATTCTTACTCTCAATAGTACGTTGAGACCCTGACTGAGTTCCCCAAAAATTAAAAGTTAAAGTTTTTAGGGGTTGGGGGCCCCTAGCAGCCGGGGGCCCCTAAACGACCGCTTATGTCGCTTATGCGTGTATGTGTCTAATTGTGTGACTGTCTGTGTGTCTGACTGTGTGTGTTTGTATATCTGTCTGTGTCTGTCCGTGTGCTAGGCTGGTGGGAACCCAGCAGTGGACCTCCATGGACACACACAGCAACAAGAGCAGCTACACTCTGACGGTGCTGAAGCCAGACACCACGTACCAGGTGAAGGTGCTGACACAGTGTCTCAGCAAGCAGCACAAGACCAACGATGTGTTGACCCTGAGAACGCCCGAGGGATGTAAGTAATGTCGATTTTTCAAAATCCTAACATCGCTGAGCCTCTCACGTTAAACAACTGTTTTTCCTGTAGTTTTTTGTCTTGCTAACGTAGTGTTGCTCACACTAAACGATGTGATACAGATGGATGATCACACACTACCAAGATTCTTCACTTGGTCGTGATGATTCTCGATACCACGGTGTCTCGCGAAAACAATGATGTGATGATGTGATTAAATTGTTAATGTAGCTAGAACAAGCTGTGGCTCAAAGCAGCCTCAAAAGCCTTTTCAGTCAGACATTCATGCTTGCCATACAGAGTTGAAATATCTACTCAATACATTTTGAATTGAACAACATTGCTCGTGGCAAGCTCTCATTGGCTATTGCTGATCACCGTTCTTAAAATGGAGAGATGAGGGGGGAGATGAGGGGGGGAGGGGAGAAAGAGAGGGAAAGATAGAGGGAGCAAGACTCAATCATTTCACTGTATCTGTTCACAGCAGAGGATTTGTCTAAGGCTTGATTTAACACGTTGTCCATGTATTTAGTGTGGTTGTTTTGCACACCCTAGTTGAATGCACTACTTGTGAGTTGCTCTGCTAACTGACAGGCAAAAGGAGTAACAAAAAGAATAATGCCGTTTTAGGATTATTTTTTTTCCTGGACCCAGATTAAGCCTACCCCTGGACTGAAAGGCATGCTCAATGGAGAATCTCTATCTATTGAAAGGGTCTTGGAAATAACCCTTAATGTTTATATCACTTTTGTATCACTTTTGAAGTTTGTGGCCTGCCTGCAATAGTGTTTTAAGCTATGAATTGAATATTATGTTGGATTGACAGTACGGTTATGTAATGTTTGTTGCAGTGCCCGACCCCCCAGAAATCTGCAACTGTCATGTGACAACGGAGAGGACGGCACGGTGGAGGCCTCGTGGAGTGCTCCAGACAAAGCCCACGGCCTGATCCGGGAGTACATTGTGAGTTAGCCTGCCTAGACACTCAATGTTGTTTCCTCTGGTAAACTTAATAACCGCCTCTCCATTCTTAGTGTCATGTCCTGAGCAGTAGGGCTATAAGAAGAGATCGAAACATATGCACATCCAATGGCTTTGAGCGGGTGCTGGATATCAAAGTAAATGTTCATCAGCAAAATATGAAAGACTCCACACACTGTGATGTGGGCTTATTATTAACATGAACAATGTTTCAACCCTGTTTTGCCTGTTTTGTTTCTCTCTGTGTGTGTGTGTGTGTGTGTGTGTGTGACAGGTGGAGTACAGTGAAAAAGGTGTGGAGTGGTTCTCTCAGCGAAGCACCGGCAACGGTGCGGAGGTCAAAAACCTACAGCCCAGCACTCTGTACAAGTTTAGGGTAAGAGACCTGTGTCTTTCATAGCAGCTTCATAGTGACATTTGGCTTCATAACATGAAGGGAACATGAGCTCTTAGAATTGTTGAGTTGTGAACCTGTCTGATGAGTTCTAAACCTGTGTGTTTTCAGGTGGCAGCAGTGACTGGTCGAGGTATGGGGAACTGGACTGAGGTTAAATCCATCATCCCCAAGAAAGGTATGACAGAATCTCTCATGATCATTAACCTGACAATTTATAGTATGGCATGATGATAGTTTGATACATTTGATACAATTCTCTAATCCAGAGTTTCTTAAACTATGGGTCAAGACCCAAAGTGGGCCCTGGGCATGTGAGAGGTGGGTTGCAAATAATGCATCTGTAATCACACGCTATTTCTTTTTAGTTTGTGGATATTTGGGTCACCGGAGGATGGTACATATCTTATTTTTATTTGTAATTTTAGCCCCTTTTCTCCCCAATTATGATCTTATCTCATCGCTGCAACTCTCCAACGGGCTCGGGAGAGGCGAATGTCGAGTCATGCGTCCTACGAAACATGACCCGCCAAGCCGCGCTGCTTCTTAACACCCGCTCACTTAACCCGGAAGCCAGCTGCACCAATGTGTTGGAGAAAACACTGTTGAACTGACGACCGAAGTCAGCCTGCAGGCGCCCGGCCCGCCAAGGAGTCGCTAGAGCGCGATGAGCCAAGTAAAGTCCCCCGGCCAAACCCTCCCCTAACCTGGACGACGCTGGGCCAATTGTGCACCGCCCTATGGGACTCTCGGTCACGGCCGGTTGGGACACAGCCTGGGATCGAACCCCAGGCTGTTGTGACGCCACAACACTGCAATGCAGTGCCTTAGACCGCTGCACCACTCGGGAGGCCTAGGATGGTACATTTCTTATTTGGGTCTTGAGCTATAATCCTTCAGTGCACTTCCTCCACTGGTTGCATTGTGGAGATTTACTGTGTTCTACTGCCCACTGCTGGCCACCAGTATGTAGTTGTCTTATTTATTGGAGCTGGTGCTTATTGTCTTTCCTCTCTCAGCTCTGCCACCTCCCTCAGTTATCACCGATAGCATCACAGAAGACTCGATGAGCCTGTCTTTCAGCTTTAACTCCCAATATGAGGTCAGTTGGTGGCGTCTGTATGTGAGTTAGTGCTTGTCTATGTGTTCTAACTTGCCCTATAATTCTACCGTTGTTCCGTGATTGTCTGCAGGTGAGGCAGTATGTGGTGGTGTTGTCCTGGGTGTTTGATGCTCACGTGAAGGAGAGCAGGAACTACACCGTGCGAGGCAGCATACTGAAAGGTTCGCCCCTGTCTGCCACTAGTGTCCACACATTTTCTGACAATTAAAAAAGTGTTTTTCAAACACATAACTTCGTCATATGCGTCAAAAACACACACTTTTGTGTTTTCAAAATCCTAATCCAACTCTCTGTCTGTCTGTCTCTGTATCTACCTGTACACTTGCAGCTGCCAACCTGACCACGGGGACCATCTACGAGGTGGCTGTGTGGGCCCACACCAGTGTAGGAGACAGCCCCACAGCCCTGTCCCGCCAGCAGACCAAAGGCACCCAGCCGGAGCCTCCCCTCCTCAAGGCCCGGGCCCTCAACCAGAGCTCTGTGGACTGCAGCTGGACTGTAACCGGCTCCCCCGCACAGGTAACACGGGCACAGCATGACAGCTACTGTATTACAGACATGGGTCATGTTCATTAGGGCACTCAACGGAAAACATCATTCAACTCTTTTGGACAGAAAACGAAAATGAGCGTTTCTTATTGGACACGTTTAGGTATTCCCTCCCTATTTCAGTCTGTTTTCTTCCATTTGGTGCGTAATGAACATGACCCTGGGTTTAAGTAGTATCTGTAGTATACTTTAAAATGCTTCAAGCATTTGATTGAGCTTGTCTCGAGTGCCTGATGGGTGGGGTTTGCACTATTCCATTGGTTCCGTTATGCCAGGCAAGCTCAATTAAGCGAGTCTCCACAAGCAAAATATAATAAGGAATTTCATAGATTAGTCATAATTGATTGGATTTATAAAGCGCTTTTCGAGATGCTCAAAGCTCTTTACATAGTAAGGGGGAACTCGCCTCATCCACCGCTATTGTGAAGCACCCAGCTGGAGTATTATGGCTCTCTGTGCAGCCAGTGATGTACTGTTTGGTTGTTGTGTCTGCCTGTACAGGTGTATGGCATCTTCTTTGCCACCTCCTTTTTGGACCTGTACCGCAGCCCTCGCAGTGTGTACACCAGCGCTAGCAGCCGGACTGTCACCGTGGACAGTGATGAGCAGTACCTGTTCCTCGTGAGTTCACCCCCTATTCCTCTTCACCCTAAATCCGCTCAGTTAACCTATGTGTACATTTTGGATTCTAAAGAACAATATTTCAATGTGTGTGTGTGCTTATTCATGTGTGTGTGACAGGTACGGGCCATCTCTCCCTACCTGGGCCCTCCCTCTGAGTCTGCGGTGGTTAAGATGATTCCTAACGAGCGGCTGCCTCCTCGTAACCTGCACAAGGTGCGCGTTGAGAAGACTCAGGCTACATTGAAGTGGCAGCCTCCCTACGACTCCCCCAGCACCCCTCTGGTACGACCATCCTCACACACCCTCGAGCGTCAGCTCTTTCCAATACATCTTGTCTGGTTCATGGGTTAAAGTGATAGTTCACTTTTTTGAAGTTAGTTGAAGCTTAAACTTCAAAACAGACCCAAAGTGTGGATTGCAGTCTCTCCTTGTCCATAGACTTCTTTCAGTGTAAGGAAACTTTGTTTTAAAATTGAGTGAACTATCCCTTAAATAAAGCCTCTCAAAATCTGACCGCTAGGGCCTTGAACACCTGGCCAGGTAATATACAGTACACCTGTACTACTGATATAATAGCATGAACAATTGTCCCACACAAGGGCGCCTGTAGACCGAACCATAAACCTGTGTGTCCATGTCTGGATCTCAAATGACACCCTATTCCTTTTTAAGTGCACTACTTTTGCCCAGGGCTCTGGTCATTAGGGTGCCATTTTGGATGCAACACATGTCTGTCATTTATTGTTATTTTGTTGTATTATTTTATTACTGTTGAGATTGTTAAATGCACTTTCAATAAAGTTTGATTTGGACGTGTCTGTCCCGTGCAGACGTACGCGCTGCACCTGAAGGACGTGGTGCGTAAGACGGAGAGCAGCTACAAGCTGACCACCCAGAACAACACGGTGGAGTACTGCCTCAAGGGCCTGGAGCCCGGCGGACACTACAGCGTCACCGTCCGCCTGCGCAACATGAGCAAGGAGGCCAGCTCCACGCTCAACACAAGTACGGGCCAGCTTATGTCCCGGGGACGGGCGTGTTCCAGGTCATCTTTATTGCAGTCGACGATCCGTTTTTTTCCCCCTTCAATGCCCGGAGAAGCGTTAAAACATCTCACGGGCCATGTGAATGTGATGTAGCGATCTTCTGGGATGTGCAGCCCGACTGCAATATAGATAGACAACATGGAACGCGCCCACCACCTGTTATGTAGTGGCTGGGGACTAGTATTAACAGATCTGGGGAGACCACATTCAAAACCCAATGGGGATTGTTTTAACATGAACCTGAATGTATGTTGTTCAAGTTGTTTCCTTCTTCTCTGTGTGGACATAGTGCCCCTGCCTGCTCCAGAGGCTCTGAAGATACTGACGGAGAAAGACCATGTGATCCTCTTCTGGAAGAGTTTGGCCGTGAAGGAGAGGACCTTCAATGAGAGCAGGGTGTGGGACACACACACACACACACACAGCTGTCTCTCTCTGACCTCACTGTCTTTTATTTCCTCTGATATTCACCATTTAATGTCTGTCTGTCTGTCTGTCTGTATTTCTCTGTCTATCTACACATTTGTGCACATCCGTGCTCGGTGTCTCTCCGCAGGGCTACGAGGTGCACATGTACGACAGCCTGTCCAACTCCACCGTGCTCCTGGGTAACACCACGGAGACCTTCTTCCGGATCAGCAGCCTGCTGGCGGGCCACAACTACACCTTCTTCGTCCAGGCCCGCTGCCTGCTCAACGGACAGCTGTGTGGTGAGCACGCCCTGCTGCTCTACGACCAGCTGGGACAAGGTGAGAGGGGGAGGGGAGGATGGGAAGTTACGGGACAGATTTACTAAGAACATGCATCAATCCTAAACGTCGGTTTCAGTAACAATGTGTGGTGACATTCATACAACAGAAGTATGAGGTAGCACACTCAATTGATGGATATGATGATCGTTTTCCATGTTAATCTTACTTCGTTAATCGACTTTGTGAGATAAAAGTATATAAAGAATCTCTCATAATGGCACCCTCTTGTGCTGTATGCACAATGTCAATCACGTCAGTCAGTGAATGACACTCACCAGGTGTACTTCTGCCTCCCTCCCCCTTCCCTGCAGATCCCAGTGATGCGGCGCGGAGCTCGGGCCAGTCAGGGGACATGGCGGTAGTGGTGGTGCCGGTGCTGTTCCTGCTGCTGCTGGGGCTGTGTGGGGGCCTGGTGGTCCTGTACCTGAGGCACCGCCGCCTGCAGAACAACTTCACCGCCTTCGCCAACAGCCACTACAACTCCCGCCTGGGCTCGGCCATCTTCTCCTCAGGGGACGAGCTCGGTAAGACTCCTTGGTTTAGTTCTATATCGAAGTAGCTTGATGTTACTGTTGACTTTGACTGTGTGTGATGGTTGCTAACGTAGCCCGATGTTATCAGTCTACACTGTGTTGAACTTGAACCACGTTGTCTTTATTTGTGAACTAGCACATAGAGTATCCCTTTCTACCTCCCATCTGATTTGGCACGGATTTTGATCAATCATTTCTAGGGCCCAGAGTTTCTCCTGACCGTGTGACCTGACCAAAAAAACTCTGGGCCCCAGTTTAAGGCTGTGCTACTAGGGACCGTAGTTTGTCTTTGTCAGGTCCCATCGTCCGGAGAAACTCCTGGCCCCACTCATTTCTCATGGGGATGACCAGGATCATAAACCACATTTTTGCATGATCCGTTCTGATGCAACTATCATGTTATTTTTCCCTCCTCCCTTCAACTCTCCTTTCCCCTTCCTCCTTAAAGGTGATGATGACGAAGACGCCCCCATGATCAGCGGCTTCTCAGACGACGTTCCCATGGTGATTGCGTAGCGGGACCACCCCTTCACCTCTTCTTCTCCTCCTCCCTATCACTCTATTACCACACTCTGCCCTGCCTGTCCCAACCCGTCACCTACGCGCCGGTGCCCATGTGAACACGACAAGAAAGAAGGTGCGCCAACACTTTCGTCAACCCAACCCCCTCCGAGAAAAAAAAGTCTTATACGATTCAGGATCAAAGGAAGAAAAAGTGAAACGCAACGAGAGATATTTTTAAAAGAAAAATACGATGCACTTTTTTAGGATGCGCAATAACTTATTTTTTTATACATAATATATATATATATATATCGGTTAAAGGACTTTGTTGGGCTGGAACTGATGCTAACTGTGAAGGATTATGAGTTTGTCAGGCGTGTCACGTGTTGGAGTAGTTCGGAGAAAATACCCTTTTGAACTACAAACTCACTCCATAAAGAACAGTTCATTGCTTGAAGCCAAAATAAGCACCTAGCAACTGGAACATCCAATGCAGAAAAAACACACATAAGGAAAGAAAATATACACCTAATACTGTATATGTAAAAAATATTATAATAACCAAGAAATGCTTAATAAAGGGAGTGAGGAACACAAGCTCTTGACACAGCATAAATTAACCCAGGAACAAGTCTTTATGGTATTTATTCATGATTTGTCTCACTTTAAAGACTATACTATTTGCCCATGGTACGTTGTTTACAGTGTCTGTACTGAAATCGATCTGAATATGTGGCTGTCTGTTCCAATGAGATCACTTTAATCCAGGGGCGCAACTTTCACTGGGGACGGGTCCCCCCCAGTTTTATCATTAGAATGTGATACAAAAAAAGGCAACAGTGTGCTTTAGGACCATGCGGATGCCTCCGAGCTGTCGGGTAGGCTGTTTGGAGTGTCTATCCGACTGGATAAACAAAACAAAAAAAAGTTATGTCCCCCCCCCACTTCTAAAACCAAAGTTGCGCCCCTGCTTTAATCTGTTGATATTTGATTTGAAACTGTCCATTGGCGTGAACACAACAATTGGCATCCGAGTAACCAACCAATGAGTAGCGATTTAGATGAAATCGATGGCACCATGCAGTGTCTTATAGATCCATGTTCCTCCTACCACCAGCACAGGAGTGGCTGTAGTCAACTCAGCAGTAACAATAGTACCGAAGAGTTGTTCACATTTAGCATGTTATTAACTCCAAAATGTCAGCTCGATCATTCTTTTGAGTTTCTCTACTCGCAATGCTGCATCGATAATACTGTAGGTGGATATATAGGAAAATAGTGTGATTTTAATTGGTTTTATCAGGACCACCACGGTGTAAATATTATTGTTATTCAAATATGATTATGCCCAATCTGCTGCCGTTAGTTTGTAGTGTTTGGAACGTTTGTCTCTGATGTTCTCAGGGAACACTGGGTCTTTGTCTGGTCTGACACTGGCGTGGGACCATCATCTGAGTCTTTAGCCAACACTCGGAACCCTCACTGAGGTACTATAGTAACCCTAGGGGCAACATTTGGAGTATGATGTTGTAATGATGTAATTCTCTGGTTGTTAACTGGTTTTCTGGTTGAGATTACAAGGAATTGGTCTCTGTTACAACAAGAAAAATATGTATTTTTCATGACGAGAGCAAGATATCATGGGAAAGACGTCATATTTTGGTTGTTATCTGGTCAGATAACGAGATTATTGCATTTTGTGGTTGCTGTTATTATTCTTTTCACAAAAAATTTATACATCTAATCTACAACCTGATCATAATGTCATTAGACATCATAATGACATCATTGAAACCACTTTTGCTTGCTGGGATAGCAGTATGATGTTTAGGTCACAGTGAGAGGGACTGTGTCCAGCTCTCTCTCACTGTATAGCCAAACGCTTCACTTCAGTATGATGTTCCAAGCTTCAGAAGAGTCTTCCCCATCCCATCCTATTGTGTAGTCATGAACTGAAACTTGTATTTTCATCTATGCTAAAGAGCCATTTCAATTGATATTTTGGGTTTATTTGTAAATTTGTTCATGAATGTATTTTATATCTGTGATTTTATGGCTTTGAGGCGATGTGGAAACCGGTCACGTTACTAGTCCCCCTCCCCCCTCTCCCTCCCACCCCTCATGTGAAATGGATACACTCGCAGTCCTCTCACTTTGTACAGCCAAGAACTCTACTTTGAATGGTTCACCCCTATACTCTTGGAAGAGATACCTGAAAATGGGCTTTGATAGTGTCTGACTGTAGACTGGTTCAGGGCAGGCACCAAGACCACGTTTCCACCCCCTATCCCACTGTGGGGGTGATGTCACAGCAGCCCCTGCATTGCACTCTCCGCCCCCGGTCACTGCAGGGCTGTTTTCACTACATTGTTTTGACATTCGTCTCCATAAAGTACTTGTGATTTTATCTCCCCCTTTTCATTTTTCCAGGCCTTAAATAGTGCTGTAAAGATACTGATGATATTGATACTGTTTCTTTTCTGTGGACTTCGATTAGCCACATATGCCTTATTAGAACACATTGATTTTGTATGTATGTACTGTATTTATGACGACACACACACACACACAATGCTGAAGAGAATGATCTGTACTGAAGAGAGAGAGTAGAAGTTGTATGTTATTGTTATATGCAGGTTACTGCTCCTGTCTGCATTGGCTGTTTAAACAAGGCACATATCTAAAGCCACCTCATGATTTTATCTCATGTAGTCCAAGTTTGACAATTGTACAAAATATAATTATTGATTATTGTGTGACCGTTTCAACCCCCACCCCCTCCAAATGTAAACTTTTTTTTCCTTCTGTAAAATAGTTTGCTTAACGTTTTTGCACAGAATATAATGATATTGGACACCGCCATATTTTAATATGTTGATCTTGCTTGCTTATGGGGGTCTCAAGGAAGTGAGATGTTTGAGGTACAGTGTGAAGTGTTTTAAAAACCACTTATACTGAAATAAACTTACTGGAAATGTGGAAAAGCCTAATTTTCCTCTTCTTTCGCAGAGAGGATGGATGGATGGATGGATGGATGGATAGACAAAAACAACAACACTGAAAATCTCTGCTTTCTAAAATGTTTATTGAATTATGTTTTGTTTACTTTACTGTCTTTAGTCGATGTCCTTCCAACTTCCAAATGCTTTTGATAGAAATAAACAAATACACAGTGGCACAGAGTCTCCTCAAAGGCCCTTAACAAAGTAAGTGCAAACTCATCGCCTTGGTTAACCACAAAATGCTATGAGTAAGTCCTTCAGTATTTGGCAGCATGTAGACAGGAAGGAGTGCATGTAGACAGGAAGGAGTGCATGTAGACAGGAAGGAGTGCATGTAGACAGGAAGGAATGCATGTAGACAGGAAGGAGTGCATGGAGACAGGAAGGAGTGCATGTAGACAGGAAGGTGAAGTGTGTGTGTAGAGGCTCTAGAGTACGGACGTCCTGGAGATGAACTGGGATCAGTCCTTAATCAGGCCAGTCTCACTGTGGTTTTTGACTCGCGTCTCCTCTTTGCACCCAGAACATTCTGGGGCCGAAATCTCCTGATCTTTTCATCCTGCCTCCTTCCTCCAGTCATGCAGAACGGCCACAGCTCCACTGACGCTCATAGGCTTTTATGACTGTTGAGTGAAGGGCATTGTCCACGCTCTCAGGGGAACTTTTGAGAAAAAGACAGTGAGGTCATTACAACTTTAATGCAGGCTGCAGAATTCCCCAGACTGCTCTATGATTAAGTAGAGAGGCAGGTGAGCTTCTCAGAAGAGTAGCCTGTCAGGCTGGGTGCTTTGAAGGCACAAAGTACAGTAATCAATGGAATAGATGTCCTTTAAATCAAAAACGGAACAACACGATAAGCAGAGCAAAAGAGAGTAATCTCTTTGTGTTTTTAATCAACGTTTTGAAGTGCCACCTTAATCAAGTGTACAGATGTATTTTTTAGGGAAAATAATTGAATACATAAATAGTGCTGTTCATGATTTTACTAAGTTTATTTCAACAAGGTCATTAGCAAGAGGCTCTTTACACTTCTTCTATATGTCATGCTTTCAGTATATCAACAGCAGTTCAAACTTCATAAAATAAAATACTATAAGACTTAAAGACACACTATGGGAGTTGAATTGCTCTCTGTTTCAGAGGGGTTGGGTTAAATGTGGAAGATACATTTTGGTTGAATGAATTCAGTTGTGCAACTGACTAGGTATCCCCTTTCCCTAATTGTTTGTTACATTTTGACTTGAATGTTGGCTGTATTCATATTCTGCACATTATCACATACATAATATTTATATCATAAAAAGGTGTGCTCCTTTCTGTCCAATGAGGTCATTTCTAGACAATGTTTTTGTCCATTTTAGGGGACCCCTTTTGGCTCAAGAGCATCCCCAGAGGCCAAAGTTCTGTATGGCCTCATCTTTAATCTCTCTCTCATTCCTTTACGCCATCTCTTTTTTATTTCACATGAAAAGAACCCCCTCACATTGCCAAAATAAATGCCTCCAAACATAGTTAATAATCTTGGGACTTCAAACAATATTGTTATAGTACAGGGCATTAAATCCTGACTGGGACATTATCATATATTGCCCAAAGAGTAACCAACTGGGCTGTCTCCCTCAACAAAAATACCCTGTCAGGAAGCACTATTAGAAATGTTTGCTCCTTCTCAACTCAACTGTCTCCTGTCTCTTATTTCTCTGACTAAACTCTTCTGGCTGTATTTATTTTCAGATCTGACTTGTCCTGGTCAACCACTGACAGCGGACCCAGACATGCTGTGCTCGGGTGAATCCAAGTATATTTGTTGTGTAGGCTACAGATGCTTTTAAAGGCTCTTTAAGACAGTGCCCAATGACGATATACTGTAACAGACTGCTCTCTTTCTTTCTTTCTCTCTCACTCTCTCTCTCTGCTCTAAAAAGAAAGTCCTCTCCATGTTCTAAATTGAGCTGCTGTACTCCTCTCTCTTCCCCCCCTCTCCTCACCTCCATTCTCATCTGTCCATCAGATTGTAAGGCAGTTCAGACAGAGAGCAGTGACCACACGGAGTGTCAGGTTTTCTGCAGTCAGAAAGGCTCCCTCCCCGGCCCACTCAACTGTTCACAGTAACTGTGCCACCATGCCAGTGATGCTCTTGTCCTTGGCTTTTTTTGTTTGCCTTTTTAGAGTATAGGGCGCCATTTGGGATCCAGACAAGCTCTTCTTACTTTGTCGAATAGCTTCGTCAATAGCCCCGTGTAGCTCAGTTGGTAGAGCATGGCGCTTGCAACGCCAGGGTTGTGAGTTCGTTTCCCACGGGGGGCCAGTATGACAAAATGTATGCACTCACTAACTGTAAGTCACTCTGGATAAGAGCGTCTGCTAAATGACTAAAATGTAAATGTAAATGTCATTCTCAAGGCTACCACTAGAGGTCTCACGTGTTTGGTTTCAGTGCTGTCAGAGAAAGACCTGCTTGTTGAAGAAGTTAGTTCCTCCCTATTTCTCTGACTTCAAGTTATTTTCAAGTCAATAAGTAATTAATCTCTTTCCAAATTACTATCACTGTTTATTTGAATATCGGATGTCAATGCACAGATAAAACGACATTGTTCAAGATTTGAGACCATCAGTTATAGAGTTTGTGTGGAATATTTCGCATCATGGTATCACTGACCTTTGGAGACAACAATGATCGCTAAACAGGGCTTAAGAAATGATCCAAAACTGAAGCTGCCAGGCCCTGACCCTCCCTTCAACTGGTGTAATTTCATATCAGTCACAGATTTGTCGCTCCCTCCCACTCCCCCCTATACAGTGGACAAGGGCCAGTTGTTCTGTTGGTGACATGTCAGTGCATCGGAGGGAGCAGCGTTGAGGTTGGGGCCTCTTATCAGCCCCAGCAGAGGCAACAGTGGGCTCCAGTGTGTACTGCAGCCAGGAAACGGCCCGGGTCCTGGGAGGACGATGAGCAGA